CAGTGAATTTCACACCTTCGCCTGGTTTCGTCGTGACGTTTTCGATAGTCGATTCTACACCAGGAGGCCGTGTCTTCGAAGGAATCCATGTCATCTCTTTCGACTTCTTTCGCGAACGCGAGCCCTTCACAGGGCGGCCTAGCCGCGTCCTCCTCCTCGCGACGTTGAGGAAGCGTTAAATTAAAAGGAACAAAGAAACAAAAGGAAAACAAGATACAAAGGAGAATATATGACGAGTGAGAAAATAAGTGAATCGTTTAGAAACGAATCTCCGATGGGAAATCACCTGGAAATGCAATGTTTGACAATCCACAGTCTCCGAGAGATTGGTGCGATCACACCACCGTGTTTTATACCGCGGCCGTTTCTCAACCCTTCTTACGACGTACTCTATCGCACTCGCTCGAGAAGAGCGCAATTACCCGTCATGTTGTGTACGCAGGATCCACCGAAAAACACGTATCACGGCCGTTCGAGGTCTGATTTCTCAACGCGAGAACAACGCTCGTCGGGATCTTCCGCATTGAACGAGTCCCGAGAGAAACTTCTCTACATCGGAAAACAAATAAAAACGTTCAATTTGGATTTAATCGGGAGAAACAAACCCGCGTCACGTATCCCGGGGGNAGGGAGGTCGTATTAAATCGTAGTAGAAATCTCAATTCAACCGGCACGAATCCGTAAAGGAAATCCTCTTTTATTTTCAACATAAGATAATCTCGCCGAAAGCGATCGTCTTTGAATTCGTCGAACGAAATGAACGAAGACCACGAGGTGTTTTTCGGCGGATCCGGAGACACGCTGCGTACGAACGTACAAACGACGACCACGCGACTTTACACAGCAGCCTGAAACCGATTCAGTGACATCCATACGTAGATATCGTAGTCTACACTTGCAGAAGCGAAAAAGAAAGCAGAACAGCGTAAAATCGATCTGACAACTCTCGAGGTTGTAAGTACTACTAGTGTTACACACATCGTCGGTATAGTACGGTAGTACAGTATGGTTGTGGTACAGTATAATATTATGACATAATTGTTTATACGACATGTAACAGCAATAGTTACAACAGCGGGAACTATTAAATCGGGTTTTATACTGTCGATGTAGACTACACACGCCCGAACCGGTTTTAAATTACCCCGTAAACGTCAATCATATACACGTGTACATACGTGTACGCGTAGACATTTAATTGTTACGTTTTATCCTTATTTTTTTGGTTCGATTACGTGACTAGAAATACTACAGCCATCCATTCGTTCCATCCATCCGTCCGCATCCACGCGTCCGCACGCATACACACGTAAAAGTATGACTTAGCGGTAAGTGCATAACTAATACATATTCTATATTTATATATGTATATACGAATAATATATACGTATATATTTGTATTTATATATACCTTCATATTTATATATTTATATATTATTCGTTCCCCGATAGCTTCTACTGGCTATTTGTGTTAAGCTAATTTTACAACAATATGGCAACCATGGTGAATATAATGAATAATACCGCTACGTTATCGCGACTACAGTCAATAACACTAATCTTAGGGACGATAATACAAAATGAAAAAGGTCTCGCGTACAAGTTTCACCAAGCGGAAATTAAGTTGCGCATCGCGCTACGAAGCAACTCGCGTGCTATACACATACGCTGCCTGTCGAATCGTTCTCGTGTTTGTCGCGAGAAAACGTCGCAACCTGGTCTCTCGCAATCGAGTAACGTTTTCGAGAAACGAAACGCGAAATCGTACGAAATACTCTCGTCGAAAACACGCGATCCAGATAAATCGCATTCGCTGAATTTTTCAAACCCTGCAATTTATTCATCAGACTCCCCCCCCCCCCCTTTCTCACTCTCTCTATCTAAAACTTCACGAAAAGAGGACTAGAATTTCACATCGAAATAATTGAGCGCGGTGACCGTCCCAGCCCCGTATTAATAATCGTTACTTGAAACTCATCTCAAGCGAGATACTCAGATTTGCAATTAGACCCGTATGAGAATAGTCGTTGTTACTTGAAACTTGCCTCAAGTGAGATATCTAAATTCACATATGAGTGTTTTATGCGAGACGAGTTTCAGATAGCTACCATTAATTCGGGCAACTCCAAAGTTGCGTCGTCTTCGTGGCGTGCTGTGCGCAACGAACCAAGTGAAATTCATCCCTCCTCGAATCTCACTTTGCGAAGCATAATTGCGCTATGTCATTCCAGGCTACCGCGCGCTTTAAAGTTTTCTATCTTGACAGACCGTCTTGAACGGATCCTTCGCTTTCTCTCGAGCTCTCGATTCCGCGCTTCTTCCTTGGCCATGAAATCGCCGTCAAGGAATATTCGCGAGTGCGAGTACAAAAGATGTAAACTTCTCCCGCGCGTTCGCGTCTCTCTTCCGCGTTCGCCGCGGATTGATATGAATATGGAACGGATCACCGCGCGCAATCGCCATATCACTCTGCGTGTTGATGTGGATGTGCGTGTATGTGCAAGTGTGTGTCCTTAACGTATACCCGAAGAAAAATCATCCGAAATAACGTCCCGATTCGTTAAACTTCAGACAGCACAAATGTCCAAGTACTTTCTCATCGATAATCGTCGCATGAAATCTGTCTCAAGTAAAATGCTTAGGTCTGTATTAATAATTGTACTTGAAACTCACCTCATATGAGATACTCAGATTTTAATTCCAAGTTGAACGTTTCAACAGTTAAATCGTATGATACGTTTGATAATGAACGGTAAAAAATTTGGTGTGAATAATGGTCCACTGAAATGTTTGCGTTACTTCAACCAAGTGAATATGTTAATTTAACATATATTTATGTACTTTTTAACATAAACGCCATTTCAGACATCTGTACTGTCCGGGACCGTTTCGTTCCACATAAGAAACAAATCAAATGAATTCGACTGAAATGAAATAAATACTCGAGCCTGCGTCGTTATTCGCAAGTATCTGAATACAAGTTGAGGATCTCCGAAGACGTTCGAATTTGGACGACTCTGCCGCGACTCTCAGATACCTCGACAAATCGAGACAAGAGCTAGGCCACCCTGGCGAGATCGTGCGAGGTGTCACGGGCGATCTTCGTATCATCAATTGTTGAGAAAAATCCGTTGTCGTGACGATGTTGTTCGTGATGCCCGCGACGCGACGAGATGCGCCGCCAAATCGGATCCTCGCCCATAGATATCGATAGATCCGCTCTCTTCCTCGCTCACATCGACCTCTTACACCGCGATTTCGCGGGACCGCCCGCCGGACAAACAAACAGAGTGTCTTCTGCTCTTTTTCTGCTCATTTCGTCCGGTAACATTCTCGCGTTCGCGACCACAGACTCTCCCCCACGACTCGTGTGTCCGTGTAATCTCGCACACCTTGCGCCGATCATTACCGGATACACACACCGCTCTGTGTCCGCTCGCGTTCGCTTTTAATTGTCTCTTCTCTCTCTCTCTCTCTCTTTACTTTGGGATTATGTGCCCCACAGATGTGTACACAGAAACATCACTTACATCGCTTTATGCTGAATCATTTATAAGCTAGTAACGCAGTAAATCGGTAGACTCTTACAAATATATATCGCGTACATTCCCTCCCCCCGCCTCCGCTTCCCGGCGCTCGCGAAACAACACGTATTATCCTCGAAAGCGTTCCGCCTCGATATCTATCAACATTTGTCGTTTACGTAATTATTAAATTTACGCGCGCGTGTGTGTATGTATGTGTGTTTATGTATCTCTTTACCCACTCTTCTCTTCCTCTCTCCCACCCAGGCCTCGAAGAAGCTAGTCTTCATCGCGCGTTACACAAGAAATATTAGTATCAATTCGAGACTTATATATAAGCAAGAATATATAATTTTATGTGAAGATATAACTGGATTGCATAAAGGAAATCTATATATATAGTTACACTAGAAATATCATATTCTTATTGTTCGAAAACAATTTTCATGGATTTTGTGAGAGGACAAAAATATTTTGGTGGGAACAACTCCCCAGGAAAAATTTCTCATATATAATTATGTATAATTATATATATATATATATATATGTGATTATATATAATCATATATAATTTTGTATCACCATTTCGTATATAATTATATATATGGACATATTCTGTAACACCTCATATATAATTATATCTAATTATATATGGAAAACTTTGTCTCGGGTCTTCTTATCCCCCCTTCCCAATATCTTTCTCCTTTCAACTTGTGAAGATTATTCTCAAATAACAAGAATATGATGTTTTCAGTGGAACTATATAGAATTTCTACATATAAAATTATATATTCTTGCTTGTATATAAGAATAAAAATCTTGATTCTTGATACTAATTCTTTTTCCGTGTACACGAGTCGCGAATCGTTCCACCGTGCGTGTCGCCGACCGGCTTCCTCGATGGATGACTAGAGCCGAGTAAGACGGCGATCTTCCACGTGGACGATCGATACTCTCTTTCTTTCTTTCGCTATTTCACATCGATGCGAAGCTGACACGAAAACGAGCTCCCTTCTCGAGCAGAGGACAGAATTTCCCGAGCAACGCAGCAGAACTCGTGTCTCTCGGAGCTCATGGTTGTTTCGTCTCATACTTGATTCATTTTCGCTATCAGCTTCACGTGGTATGATTCGGTGCGGCGCCGCTACGGTAGCGATGGTGACGAGTCGTGCGCGAACAGGCGATTCGACCAAGCCTCTGTACCGATTTCAGAACGCGGCGATGCATCCTCGTCGTGTTCACGTGAACTCGAATGTTAATTCTCGTCAATTAATCGTAATAGCTATGTTACTGCTCTCGTGAAAGTGGTTTTACACGGAAGAGATTTTACAGTAAAAATTACTGCATCTTATATCGAAGTGCCGTCCAATTTCAATCATCTGTCCGTTTCGCATGAACTACTCACTTTAATTTATTTTAGAAAGTGAAATCTATAATGTTAAAAAAATGTGTTATTAAAACACTAGTATTGAAAATTTGTATTAAAGAATTGAGAAGATTTTATTGAAAAAATTAAAGCATTTTTATCAGGAAATTTCTTCGATAAAATGAATCGTGTTCCTTAGCAAGAAAAACTTTACTGATAATTTATTCAGTTGATTTTCTCGCATTACTAAGAACACGCGTAAAGTCGCGAAAAAAAATACACATGAAAGAAGCTGTAATATTCTCTCCGTGCAGTCGAGACGTTCGGCATCGATGGCGCAAAGAGAAGAACACATCCGGTCGAATTCGCCTGCGTCGCGCAACGACGATCGACTGTTCGTGCAGCTTCGTCTTAATGGTTCTCGACGATAAACGCAGCTTAGAATAGCTCTTCGATACCTTAACGTTAGACTAAAGTTAAGTCATGCGCATTGGCACGCGCTATTTGGTACGTTTCATTGAAGCTCCCCTTAGATTCTCCGGTTTTGGTTTCCGTATAAATACTTTATTCCTAAGATAGCTCCGCCCTCGACTGCTGATGACGCCTCGACTTATTCGTAAGTAACGGTTGCGCGAAAGCGTCAGCTCGGGTGTCCTCGCCATCCACGCTCGTCCGATACTCGAAGGTCAGAGACTGCAGCGATTCGGGTTTTGTCGCGTTCGCTACCAGTGCGTCACACATGAGTGACAACGATCTTTTTCTTTTCTTACGTCCATGTGACCAAGTCTGTTTTGCAGAATTACATAGAAAGAAAAGAGACACAGGGGGTGTAGAGGTGGTACCCTGGTAACGAACGCGTTGTCGTTAATCTACGATGTCACTCGATGCATCGGTACGGCGGTCTACGATATTGCAAAATACTCCCGCCGAAAACTACACTCCGAACTGCGGCACGCAGTCTCGGTCACAGTATTAACGCATTCGCTTCGGGGAACACATTCGCTTCGCGGGACGAAATGCCTCGTCTCTAAGTAAAAACCGCCCGAAAGGAATGTGTTAACAGTCGCCGCTTGAAATTTGTCTCTTGTGAGATGCTCAGATCTGAATATGGAGCTTTTAACACTCGGTCCAACCGCCATCATCTGTCGGTGACTTGTTTTATCTGCCTCACAAGAATAACTTTACTAAATATGTAGAAAAGTACCGAACAGGTAAAAATCAGATATCACTAACACAACATATCAAGAATTTTCCGAGACTCGTACGTGAATTCAGTCAACGTGTTAAATGCGAGTCTTTCTTCAGTTGATTACAATGTTAATTCGACTGAGAAACTCAGATTTGACTCTAAATTCATGTCTGAGCGTCTCACGTGAGACAGGCAACGACTGTTCCCGGTTTAGTCTGTCGATGCTCTTTCACCACGGCACTTTGAATTTCAATTTGCCGTGTAAATTTCGGTGTTCCCACGTACGTTTCAACGGACGCAGCAACGAATTCTGTGTGATATCGGAGACATACCGTAATTAACCCTTTAAGGCCCAGTGTACTTAATAATGTACATTAAGTTTGGGCCTTTCCTAAATTCGATCTGTAAGTAAACTGTAAATCTGTTAGTAAACGATGGTTCTTCAACTATGTTATAAACAAGTGGGAAATAAATATATTTTTTTTAATAAAACAATTTTACCATTTTCTCAGTTTTATATATCAAACGCCCAATGTACATAAATGATGTACATTCGGGAAATCGCACTTCTCGACGACCAATTTATTCGGGCAAAAAAATGTTCATCAGGAACGTCCTTTAAGATGATGTTATAAGTGACAACATTTTACTCCAATGAAATTGGTGCGCGGGCCTTAAAGAGTTAAATAGTAGAAGCATGAGAAAGTAATAGTTGCATATAGAGCTCTATATAATATATACATATTCATCGTATTATATGTAAATATTAAAATTAACGCTATTAAAATACGGAGCTAGAAGATGTCCAGAGGACATCCGACAAACGCCCGAGAAGTCGGGGCGGGCGTTCCCTTCGCATCGTTCGAGTATCGTTCGCGCCGACCACACTCTTCCGCGGGTATCGGACGAGCACGAGTATCGATCAGTTCGAGAGCGTCTCGAATTGAAAAGCGCCCGTCCGCTATCGGCATGTGAGTTCCCACCCTCTCGTCGGACGACGAAACAAGCGGCTATGATGATCTCGAAACGGACCGACCACTCGCCGAAACGCGCTGCGAAGAGTCGCGAGGATTGCTCTCTGAGCGGGCCGGGAGATGAAGTAGTGCGACGAGGAGGCGCCTGCAGAAGAACGGCATTCTTCTCTCTCTTCACGCTCGAAAGATCCACTCCATGCGCGATTGTCCCAGTTTCATTCTCGCGTGCGTCTTCGGGAGATTTTCCGAAACTCTGTGGAAACCCCGACGATCCAACGGACATCGTCGATTCTTCCACACACGCCCATCTTCGTCGTTTCCATCCTCTTTCTCTCGCTGTCTTTCCATCTTTCCCCGCGAAAGCAGTGGCACACGTCTCAACAGCGTGACGATGCGTCGTTTCCCTCCCCCATTTAGTCCCGTAATAAAATATAACTTATGCGAGATGCCGAGTACATTACAGATTGTGCGCAACGAGATTTACGCCCGTCCCGGAACACGCGTTACACGCGCCTAATATGAGGTCCCATAGTGTGCATTCTTTCTCGTAGCGGTACTTTTCCCCGTGTCGCCCTTCCTCCCACCCACCCCTGTCCTACCCCGCCTACATCACGTCGAACTTAACAGTTTCGGTATTGTCGATACACCCCGTGCGAAAGAACGAAAGGGAAGAAAACGAAACGCTTAGAAAAATACACTCTCGGTATTCTCTCACGGGTGGCGCTTGCGCGTCCGCAGAATGACCCAGGAATCACCTGTGTGTACATGCGTCGAATCCCCTTTCGATCGACAGCTTGTGTCCGACACGGACGTCCGCGTGAAATCGCTCCCGGCGTTCGACGCATCCTCCCTGTGTGTCGCGTAAATCACGGCGTTACCTGTCCCGCGTAACTGACGCTCAGATTTCAGTTTAAAGCTAGTTTCTCTCTTCATTCCAATTGCAATGTTATGTATGTTGTACGATTCAACCGGAAAATTCGGACTCGCGTGTTTCTCACGGAGACCAATTTTTTGAGCGGATGACATGAGCGGATTGTTTGTTGCTGCCACAGCAAGATTTGTTATTATGAGTTATTGATTGCTAATCGTGTCAAGTAGGTTTTATTGCTGTCGTATTTTGCTGCAAAGTGATTTTTTTCCGTGTAACAAATCTTTCCTCTGTCTCACTATAGTAACAAACAATTTGCTATGCTGGCGAAAGATCTTTCTCCATGCTATCAATATCAGCTTAAGATTTCTTTTTACATGCCTAATATTTCACCGGGAAATTCTGCGAAGCACGAACGGGCGGTTCGAAGAAGTTGCGAGGATTTCGACGTCCCCCGCACGTTTCGTGCTGGATGAGATAAAAGTATCATTGTATGTCACTCCGGTACGATCATTAACGAAGGAAATGGGTCTCTCTCTCTCTCTCTCTCTCTTTCTTCACAGTGAAATAATGTGTGCGCGTAAGTATGTGCGTACAGATCGACACTTGTTAGCTACAATGTGCTTTATGGATATCTGGTGTGTGCGTGGTGGTCGTTACGTTAACGGTGATAAATACGTAGGGGCGAGAAATAAAGTAAAAAAATACAAAAGTAAGAAATCAGAGAAATGCAACATGTTGCGTTGCAAGCGGTATCAAGCGAGCTCGGAGGCTTCGCGAGATCACGTTAAAAAGTTCGTCGCATAGCGTATCAGCTGCTCTACATCGATCAAAATGCAAGTCTGGCAAATTCCGGACGCTCTCGCGCCATCGTCTCGATCGTGTGCGCGTGTAGAACTGGGTGGCTGGGTGTGTGGGGGCTGTATGTGCTCGAATGAAAGTAGAAGAAGTAAGAGAATATATATGAGCGTGTGTACGGAGTGCGCTTAGTAATTTGTGTGCGACGCTGACGAGAATTGTGGGCAAGATCTCGACTTTTGTGCGCGTGGCTCCCTGGAATGCTCGAGTGTTTCTCGTCGCGAGAACGAAGCCAGTCCTAACGGCGATCTCTTGTTATTCCGCGCCGCGTCCCCTCGCGCCTTTCTTCGCCCGGCGCGCAACTGGCGCCATTCGTTCGCTTCATCGCGAAAACGTCCGCTCAATCCGGAGATAACCGTCGTCCCGTTATTCGTAGAGTTCGCGGTCGACTGTGTCGCTTCGTCGAGCGAGAGAACGCCGCGCGAACAACGTCGGTCTTCGATGGTCTAACATAGGATAAACTAAATACGTTTCGCTGATCAGCGTCGATAACGAAAGGGGTCGTTTCTCCTTTTCTCTCTTTCATCTATCTTCTTCTCCTCCTCTTTCTCCCTCTTTCAAGCTGGAATGGAACCGCAACGAGCCTCGAACCCGCTGAAGAATGTCGTATGGCCAGCCATGTCGTGGTAACGCTTTCCTCCTCTTGCGCTTAATGTAGAATACAGAATTAGCCTAATAGAGACCGCAGCCGCGCAGATTATTGGCTATGATGACATCTGTGACTGCGTCGAACACAAATTGAATGTTGTTCGTGTCGGTGGCACAGGTCATGTGGCAGTAGATCTCCTTCGTGGTCGACTTATTTTTCGCTTCGAACTGCGCCTGGATGTAGGCAGCCGCTTCGCCGTACTCCTGCGCACCTGGTGAGATAGAGAGAGGCGGTGACGCTTAGCCGGTGTCGTGACACGCGGAAAAGTCGGACGAACAATAGAATTGATCAACAAGGTAGTAAAAGAAATCTTCGTTCGACAGCAATATCATTGAAACTAATGCTTGACTTACTGAAACAATGTATCATGCAAGACTTGAGGAGTAAGCAAATTGATCATAGTGGAGATTCACAACATGAAAGTCTCTATCAAATGCAACTGGTTAGTTCGTTCACCGCTTACGCTCTTCTATGTGTCATCCCCGTTTCACAATTGGTATAAAATAAATGAGAAAAATGAGCTTTTTCGACGAGACTCACCGGCGTACTCGGGGAAACAGATTGTAAGAGGAGACTTGCGGATTTTCTCCTCGAAGAGATCCTTCTTGTTCAAGAAAAGGATGATCGAGGTGTCCGTAAACCACTTGTTGTTGCAGATCGAGTCGAACAGTTTTAAGCTCTCCTGCATTCGGTTCTGCAAACGTCGAAAGGGCGATACTATAACGTCGTTCGTCGTACATAAGCATACGAAGCAAAATTATCGATTTTTTCAGGTAACATCTTTTCTCAATTTTTACCGTGTTTTCTAGCAATGAGTATTTCCAGAAATCAAATATCGCTACAATTTATCATTAGAGGCTCGAAAAGGCCTGGAAAATTAGCTTGGTGAATAAATATTCTAATAACAGACTTCGGGCCACAAATGAAATAAATAATGTGAGGCGAAAGGATGATTAAATAAAGGCAGAAAGTCGAGATATTTCCTCCGGTTGCAGAACTCCCCCGTCAATCCCCGGTGTAAAATTCGCGCCACAAGTTCCGCGTGCGTGCGCTGTTTCTAATCACCATCGATCGCAAAACGTTCCCTCTTTTTCCCACAGCGATATGCATCAGGCGCAAAAAATTAACAGGAAGGATACACGCTGTATGCACAGCCCGCGTGAACGCCGCGAGTGACGCACGAGCGAAACCAAGTTTAACGTTTGACAAAGCTTCGCTTTTTCACCCGCTCGCGGAGTCTTATTAGCGGCGATGACAGTTCGTAACACACGGGGGGCGCGAACAGAGAGGAGAGAGTTCAACGGAACCTTCCCACGTGCGGCGACCTCGACAATTGATCTCTTAATTCCTCGGAGCTTTCGTTACGTGTGCTCGCAACCCGACCGTTCGCCTCTTTATCAGTCTAACGCGACATTCTTAATATAACGCCCGTGGATAGAGGGAAGAGAAGAAACTCTTTTGCTCACCGTCGTCTCGTCCTCGTGCAACACTTGATCGTATTCAGACATCGCCACGCAGAAGATGATTGCGGTCACGTCCTCGAAGCAGTGTATCCACTTTTTACGTTCGCTTCTCTGACCTCCCACATCGAACAATCTGAAAAAAGGAGAGAAAGATAAAACGGTCGCGATATCGCAGTCGATATTTTGTGATTCGCAATTTTTATTTTTCTCCCGGGGCATCTATCTTTTCCTCAAGCGTGAATTTATGAAAAGTAGGCAAACGCTCTCAAGTAGGAAAATTCCACTTTTTTCGAGTCCCCACTGAGGAATTCATGTTCGATTCTTTGTTATCACACAGATATCGATAAAATGCCGAGAAATAATTGCGATAAACAGGATATTCAGGCATGAAAGCGTGTCAAACGGTCGAGCAAGCTGATTCAACCAGGGAATGTAATTATCTCGACACGCGTCTCGACAACCGCTAATGACGCTAATTTCGATTCGAACGGGAAAGAAGAGTCCGGCTCCTTCCTCCTCGTTCCGAGCGAGAACGCTCGAATTATCGCCGGTAATGACTCACGCGTCGACCATTCATAACAAGGTAGCCCTCGTCGCATCTCCCGCGTTGCGCTCGCGAGATTACAGAAATGAGGCGAAAACGAGGTGATTGATATCGTCCGTTTATTGCGTCTATTACTGAGTACTCGCGATACGCTTCCCGCGAATTCGTCTTCGCAATGCATTGCATCTCGACTCTCGTTATTCCGATCGATTCAATTAACACGTAATTATTTTAATCGCAAGCTGAACGGGATTCTCCTTAGACTCACTTGAAGTTGAGGTTTTTGAAGGAGAAATGCACTTCCACGATTCCCGTCGTTTTCACTCGGGTCCTGAGGATGTCCTGCTCCGTTGGCTGATATTCCCTGGCTCCTAATCGGTCCAAGTCATCCAAGAAGCTGTCGAGAAGAGCGAGTTTGACGATCATCTCGAATGTTTCCTCTATCACGGAGGGAATATTACATATCTTCGTTTGATCTAACACCCATATCAGATCTATCGCATAATTAAGTGTTAATTAGTCCTGAATTTATCACTCCTCCGGATTCGCTGAAAATTAATTTTAAAGTTGGAGGTGCTGACATTCTGATTTAAAACCCGCGTATCAATGCGGACAATTCGTAATACGAGCAATATTCGCAATAATTAGTTCGCAATTAATAAGCAATATTAGTTATACGATAAATTTGTATTAAATTTGTATTAAATTTTTATTGATGAAATTTTCTTCGATTTCGCCATGTTTTCTAGCAATGTAAATATAGGCTGTCGGTAGAGTTTTTATCTTCCCGGTAAATATGATGACATATTAATAACATCTTTGACGTCATCAATACGTCAATTGACATTATTAACGGCCGCACGTCTACGCAGTCAAACGTCGCCAGGGGCAATATTTTTGACGATGAATTATTTTAAAGAAACTTTATTAAAATTCACGAAATAATTCTTGTTTACATTCATAAATCATCACACAGAGAGTGTGGTAGTGGCAAACAATCTTCGGCGCTAGCATCACACACATGTTGTGTGAGCGAACAATAACAGTTGTTCCGGCTATCACACACATGTTGTGTGAACGGCCATTAAAGTGTTAATACGTCATCATGTTTGCTGGATTACTAAGGAACATAGTCAATTTTTTAACAACAGATTTCAGTTCCTAGTCGGTATATTTCTCAGTCACAAAATTCTATAACAAGTTTTACTATAAAATTTTCCCCGCGTTGCGCGAAGTTTCTTTTAAACGTTCCTTCGCCATTTTCAAAATACGGTAAATTCATTCTGGTTTATTCTTGTGTGTAAATTTTTCCCCGATTATTATTTGCTGTATGCTAAATCCAAATTCGATGTCGAGCTATGGGAACATTAGCCGGACAGCGGAGAGAGCTAAGGGTGCGGCTCGCAACAAGTAGTAGCTGGAAGCGGGCGTATACAATAAATGGCGTTACTGTAATCGGGTCTTCGTAAACAGCCGTGCGAACCAGCCGGCAACAAGGAAACGCTTCCACCACGAGCGATAGACGCGCCTCGGACAAATTCCTCGCCAATTATCCGCGGAACGGTACTTGTAATTCAACGCCGAATGGAGACCATCGGCCGCTGCGAGAAGAAATATTTTCCCGAATGCCAATTCACAACGCAAAACGGACGTAAGAACGATGCACGAATCGATAAGTAGTGAAAGGACAATTCACGACATGTTTTATTTTACGTTGCCAAGAAACGTGGCATCATATCGGTACCTTGAAAAGTAAGATGTTCCTTGATGCTGAATACGATATGAGTTATAATGAATCTCTCCCTAAGTGGAAACAGTTCGATTTTTTCAACTCGTTTTTTTTTCTTCGATATGAGATAACAATGTTAAGTTTTATTGAGAAAATTCGAAATATGCATCTTCACATTGGCGACTATATTCATCGAATTACCGAATAATTCCCAAGTATGACAAGTTATGAAGAAACACGTAACGCCATCTTTTTAGGTCAGCTAGGATGCTCGCGGCATTTAGGGTTTGCAGGGTTGAGGAACGTCGGTGGTTCTTTTTAACTTGCATTATGAAATAAAAAAGGGAACGATATGAATAAAAGTAGCAATTGTGACGACGAAAAGAAGGGAAAAATAAATAGGACAAGAAAACGGGGAAGAAGAGAATACAAAAAATAGCTAAATATGAGAGAATACTAATGGAAAACGAACGTGAGAGAGAGAGAGGGAACGTGAAAAAGAAAAAAATTGGAGCACATAACGCCACGAAGTGGACTTTTCAGGACACGCCAAACTCAAGACGAGCGAGTCCTGATAACGCTTCCTCGAGGGGAGGGAAGAAGGTTAGATTTTTCCGGCGCGGCGGAAAAAAGGTAAGTGGGAGGTAAGGGGGGGCCGGGAAAAAGAGGAACGAATAAACCGGGGAGGAAGCAGGAGAAGGTGTACGCCGGAACCGCACGGTCGGCCATGTTGGAGGCATGCCACGTGACACGGGCGTGGCGTGACGTCATCGACGATCAATAATGACGAAGAGAGAGGGTGAGACGTGAAGAAGGTGGTGGAGAGAAAGAGAGAGGTTGCCATGAGTTCTCGTGCATTTCGAAGTCCTCCTCCTCCTCCACCACCGCCTCCACCACCACCACCACCACAACCATCACCACTGCCGCCACCACTACCGCCGCCGCCGCCGCCACTATCACCACCTCCAGCATTCCCCTTTCTCGACCTCATCTTCCGTCGAACTTGTCGCATCTCCCCGACGTCCACCCTCCGCAACTCCTTCAGGAAATTCGCGTTACCCCCCTTCCGGTTCGCTCACGAGATAGAGTCTCTCTCGCAAACGTCTCAGCGGCACTTTATACGCGAGGTTGCTCGAAGGTTGCTCTGTCGCACGAGATCCACCCCCGTTGAAACTGGTGTTGATTTTTCGGTGCGCAAATGTCGGAGAGACGATCTCGGCTTTAATGACGAGTTGCTTGGATCAAACCGCGCGGTTAAGTCCTCCTTTAAACAAAGTGTCGGAGCAGCGATAATTCGAGAGCTATAAATGTGAAGGACCTCTCCTTGTGAAACTCCGACTATTTTCAACGATTCCTGACCATCTGGGCTCGTATCAATAGTTGTCACATTGAAACTTTTCTCATGTGAGATATTTGTATTTTCACTCAGAGTTAGATATGTGAACTCTTCGTTTAAATCATATATCAGATGTAACATATTTGCAATGACGATTCAACGGATAAACTCACATCCAACTCCAATCTATCAATTTGATGTCAGTAAATCGTTTACACATAATTAAAGATAAAAGATTATCATTTCCAGAGTCATTTTTCTCAGAGGAAAACTTTAAAGGGAGAACGGAAAAGAAAAGCTGAAACGCAAATCTCTTCTCCAATTACAACGTAAAAGTCAAGAAAAAGTTTAACGATACATATATAATATATATATATACACACGAGCCATCACTTTGATAACGGGAGCCGTGAAATGCAAGGCGGCGCCACGGTTTCTTTGTGTACATTTGATCTATTAATACCGGCAAGGCCATTTTTGTTTTACACACGGATAACGTGGGTGGTGTAGTTAGGCGTCTGTTGTTCCCGCGGCTGTCATAAACGTATTCCCGTGCGTCAAGGAGGTCGTCGGCGGCAGCGACGGAAATGCACGAACAATTCCTATCAATTATCGAAAATAAAATTCACGCATTCGCCTTCTCGCGTTTCTTCGCGACTTTCGTTGAACATGCGCCGTCCCCTTCCGTTTATCGAGAAGGCTGCGGCTTTCGTTGCGCAGGATTATTACGACGGGACGACGGGCTGAGATTTCCAGTGAATGATATATTAGGCCAGAGAAAGAGATGTGTGCACTTGCGTGTGTATACTGTGCGATAACGACGGTATCGTGCTGGCCGGTGCGAAACCGCAGTGCGGTTTATTAAAGCTAAGGACGGCGCCAGAGACGGCGCGTGAGTCGCGACTGAAAAAAAAGAAGAAAGAAAAGAAGAGAGAGAAAGACGAACGCTTTCATACGGCAGCTATTGCGTGCAGGCCGTCAGCTATGGAAGGCAAACGTACGCGCCAGTTGGAGCCGCTATATCGGCCGGCTGGACCTCGCAATGGCGAGCTACGACAGCGGGTGGCACATATACCACCGGCGAAATTGCGCGCGCGACCCGGCGATTTAATCCTTCGCGACCAACTTGTATTTATGTTACGACGCTGTGATTTCATTCCCCGCATGTGTGTGCTCAACGGGGCGATTTCGCGGAGTGGAAAGTGACGCCCGCTCCCATTTTCAGGAAATATGATACGGTGATGTGAACGGAGCGTCTCTTTCTCCATTTTTTAGATCGGCCGCTTTCTCTCTTTAGTAAGAAAAGAAAGAAGATATATACACGATAGAAAATTTTGTGTAAACACAGTCCACTGAAATTTTTGTGTTATGCACACATATACAACTGATGGATAAAAAGTAAAGGTGAATATGTTAATTTAAGTCATATATTTGTGTACATCTAAATATATATTTTCATGTTAAAGTAACACAAAAATTTCGATAGACCGTTATTTGCATAAAATTTTTCGCTGTATAATTGTACATTATTATTATACTGCAACAGCTCTTATCGACTTTAAACATTTTTGGTGACTGAGAATCTAAAAGTCTTAATATTAGGAAAAAATGTCCGTGATCTTGAAACAAACGATTCATTTGTCGATCACTCGGAAACTAATCAAAACAAAACGAATTTTGGGATACATATAAGCGCGTATAAAAAATATCAACTTTCGTTTCAAACATCTCAGTTCAGAATCTTTTTCTAATTGCACGAGCAGTTAGATAATATTTCAGCGTGTATACGTAGTGCAAGTTTCATCGAATTCTTCTTATCAAACTCATTTTGTCTTAACAACCTCCTTAAGAGCTAATGAACGGGAAGCACGGGAAGTGGTAGGCCCGTATAAAGAAAAATGGCTTATTTCTGCGACCATTAATTCATACAGGTTAATTAATTCTTCATTAGCTATTGCAAATTTTGCAAAATGGTTTTCCCGTTCAGTTTAATCCACCTTGCCTGCACACCATGGATCCCGAGATAATTATCGGACACCCTGTATATTCAATAGTTATTTTTACTATAAAATTGTCTCTCCGAGTAATGACACACGATTAGTCGCGAGTTTCACGACCCGCTCCGTCGAATACTGTCATTCCTACACTTTGTCAAGGTAGACGATGAACACGGCGGTCATTATTATACGCGCTCAAAGTAATAAAAAAAAAAAGTGCACGCTTAGCGGAGATAACTAATGAAAGTATTGGAAAACGGCACTACCCTGGAGATACAAGCGCCACTATAAAATCAATATCCAGTGAAGGGGCAGCGCGTGGAAATATGCCTGCGAAACGTATCGAGGAGGAAGAGAAGGAGAGGGAGGAACGACAAGTCTCGCGTTCGAGATGAGGTTTGCTACCGCCCTTTCCGGGGCACGCGAATTCTCAGGAGTCCGGGCCACGTCTCCTCCTACTGTCATGACGCGCAACAAAACTCACGACGACCATTCCCGGCGCAAAATCACCGGGCCAAAATTAGAGTCGCGTGTTAATGGAAAATTTTAATTGAGTTTTCACGGGGCGATTTTACGCGAAATAATCTGCCGTTTATATAACCGTTTACAATATCCCCCCTTGCATCGAGTTTTATTCTCGATCGAGTCATGCGACGAGACCGGACAATTAATCTAATTCCGCGAGTTGTCGTTCGCGCGCTTCGAAACGCGATTATCTCCGCGTCGTCTTTACGTTGTCGGAAAACTCTGCAATCTACATTCCTCGAAGATGTAATCCTTCTTTTTTTTTCTTATCGTCACTTACTATTTCGCGGAGTCGTTCAATTGATACTCGTTGCTCCTGCCGAAGCACTCCTGCACTCCATTGTCGGACCACAGCCTCTTCATGGCGGCCAGTAATTCTTCGCTAAAGGGTTCCGTATCCTCCATTCTTTGAATTACGTCGAACACCATTTTAGCGTCCGTCTGGAACGAACACATTCAGATTTCTTACTTCCTGAACGAAATCCTCATTAAATTCCTTGAATTTTCATCGTGTCGTTTTGAAATCGCAATATTAAACTGATTGCTCATACATGAAATAAATTAATGAATATTATTTTATAGTGTTTACGTGATACTTGAGTTACGTGACGTTGAGTTAAAATAATTTGTCAATATAAACTAATTACGTATATTAACATACGATCTTCGTATGGTTTACATCGTACACACACATATGCATGTATTAAAGAGAGATAGTCAATAATTATTCATGCGATCTAGCAGCCGACAAGTCAGATCGCCTTACACGATCGCTTTGGACGGCTAATCAAGCGGGCAACACGTTGTGATTCGCCGTTGAATGCTTCATTCATTAGATAATCATCGGCCTGCAGTAAACTACATTCTGGATGGTATGTCACGTCTCGCACGTTAATGCAGTTATACTTAAACCAAACGCTCGCGCGCGAATAAGAGAAGTCTGCTGAATTTCGCTTCCGTTAATTTTACAATTGACACCTCCACGCGAGAATCGCATGAGTTATCGACATATGCAATGTAAAACTGTTGCAAAATAAAAAGAATTTCGTTCAAAATAAGATATGGATTATCAACAATCTACGTCGATTTACATTATAGCTTTAACGTCGTACAGATTCAAGAAAAAATTACTTTCGTAGAAATTTTATGCATTTTTTTGAGCAGTCATTATTTACTAACTTCTGTCGAAGCAGAACTAAGAAGTAAAACTACTTGGGATTTTCGAATCAAGATGTTCTCTTGCAGTTACTGCGCACAAAGGATGCACCAAATCTGAATCCATTTACTGAACGAAAACAGAATGATAAACGAACAAAAAACTATTCGACTGTAATGGGAATAAGAAGAGAAAATTCTTGGCAAACTGAAAAAATTGTTTGCAAAATGCATCGCGTTATGAACGAGACACGAAGTATTTTCTCAATTCGCACGTGTTCCACGCATACATTATCGCTCGTATTACCTCTCGCTCGTTGGTTGAAAAACTAATGCCCAGATTAGGCATCGCTCTGAGAATAGCGACTAGAGATTGTATCGTGTTGCTGTATACAACCGGTCTGTACTGCTTGAAGTCTTCCGGCGTGAAGCCGCTCTCGTGGATAATTCTGAAAGCAGAATCGAACTGGCATTAGAGCTGTACGCAAGCAAAGGTTACACGCGAAATATCTTTCTCAACAGACGTCAAGATGGAGTTCATGAATGAGAAATATGAAACTATTACCGTCGTTACCGTCACTCTCTCGAGACAAAAATTCCGTAAAGATACGCATATCGAACGATACCTTTGTATCGTCTCCTGAGTATGTAATGAGAATGAAAGATGATATCGGCGGTACCGTATATCACTCTCTAAATTCCGTGAAGTAAAAACTCACTCGAAGCGATAACGGGAATACTGCCACTCGAAATTATAAGGGTGAATAATGTGTCACTTAAGCTTAGAATAGACTTTGATTCCGTATCTCAATGGACATTTTAATCGATTAGAATGAATTTATTTCTGCAACGGTAGAATACATTAGATTCGCTCTTCAATTTCGAATGAAAATATTTACTCGACAATTCAGAGTGGAGAATTCACACTGTGTGAGTGAAGAAACCCTCGAATGTCACTCTACTTTCCAAGTGAAATTTTACTCCGCGAAATTGACTGAGTAATTCGATCATGTTCCCGCATTATCGGGCGCCCTGTTCGCGTAAGAAAACCGGGATTCGCGCGCGTCGTGTGCGGATCGTATTAATGTACGCCACGTAGTGCATCATGTGTAAACGCACATATGAATTGCAACGTGCGCTACATACGCCCCGTGACTTACATGAGCGGCCCATATACATATTGTAACAATGTTCAAAGTCAACATAGGTGAGTTATAGAGTCGACTCTATACACACACAAGCGAAAACACGGAGTAATATCGCGCAGGGTAGATTTATGCTACTATATTAGCGGCTGCTCACCTATATATTTCTCGGCATAATCTCGCGAATGTCCGCGGTGTAATTCAAGCGAAATACGCATATATACACATGTATATATACAAGTATATGTCTATTATCGTCAAAAAGCGACCTACATTCGAGATAATGCAGACCCGCGAAAATCTAATAACGGAAATTTTCCTTGAAAATCCAATAAAAACGGTTCTACGAATCTCGGCGCGTTTTTTTCGTCCTTCTTTTCGAAAAAAAAACGAGCATTTGAGAACTCCGATAACATTTTGATTAACTATATTACATATCTGAAGCATTTCTCAATTTATGTATAAAAACAAATAAATGAACGGTCTAAAAATGTTCGAGCCGGTGAAAGTATTAATTATAATTTTCCCGTAATAGCGCGCTTTAAAATACTCGTCACTTCGTTAGAGCAGCCGTCACGAGTCTCCGTTACAACATTAAATAGTATATTAATCCTAACAAAGAATATTATACTGCCCATTACGTTAATAAATGACACAGAAACACGTAGCGGCGCGTTTCGAGAGTAACGATATTAACGACGGCATAAAGAGCACTATGTGCACACGCACACACACCGTCCGGGTGTACTCTATGGGTTCCCTCGCACGCGAAGGAAAACCAACTGTAAGTGTGTGTGTGTGTGTGTAAAATCACACTTCGCTCGTACTTCAGTCTCGAGTGCTGTTTGCCGCATTATGCGCGTCCATAAATTCCGTCGCCGGAATGCACGGGAAACGCAGGTGCACGAACGGATGTTCGCCCCGTTATTACCGCGGTGTTACGAAAGCATAGGTATTCTCCAGCACTGAGTTTTAGATCGACAATTAGTTAATTAAATCGGTGGGTAAATCGAAATTAATCGAATTAACGATCAATCACTGTAACGCGCGATACGTGTATTTTATATTTCTACTTTAACCTTCTGGGAGCCTCGGTTGTTCACTTTGAGTGTTATCCCAACAGAAGGTTATCCGATAACAGTATTTCAAAAGTTTAATTTAAAAAGTGACGTCAGCGGAAGAAATTGAAACATTTTGTTATGGAACATTAGAGAATTGGCGGAAAAACGAAAATGATGTTTTTTTTTTCGAAATAAGCAAATTATCGTTAGGTAGCTTCAAAAGTGCTTTATTATAAATGACGTAGATATATTAATAAAAAAATATTTTTATTCTACAAATCGTATCTTTAATGTGTAACTGACATTAAAATTAGAAACATCTATGAAAAGAAGAAATATCCACGGTAGTTAATACTCGTTCACAGAAGTACAGAGATATTAATTAGAATTATCGCTGTTTCGCATTCCACAAAGGCGCTTTCGCCCGACGACACTTGCTATCGGGTTTGATATCCACTTAACATCCGAGATAAAGATATCGACGCGAGAATACTCGGGATGAAAGTTATCGACGCTCTTCAACGTTGTCGAAACACGGCTGCTTCGCTTCTTTCATTCTTTCATCGCGTGCACAGCGGCAACTTTGTTCGCCGGGCCCATTGAACACAGGCCCATTCACGGGCGGAACTCGGAAGGCACAGAGAGGGGAATATGTTAATCCGCGGCGCGACGTTAACATCTCGCGCGCGCGCGTATTGCCGAACAGCTGCTGGCTCCTCCTTGAATACAATCCCGTATCGTAACACCGCGAGTATCGATCCCGCCGCGAGGCAACAGTTTGCCTCGAAATAATGCCGATGCATGAACGCGAAAAGATTAATCTGCTCACAGCACACACACACGTGCGAGGGACGAACGCGAGCGCCCAGCGTAGAAAATCTCATAAAATCCACTTGCATCCGGATTTTCTAAAAATCATTTATGGGCTCTGATTCAGAGATTTATGTAGAATCAGTTTATAAGTGCATAGAGAAGAAAGATTTTTTAATGACACAGCAAATTTACTTTGTTACTAGTGACAGCGAAAAGAGTATTAGTACTCAAAGGTAGTACGCCAGGACTCAGAGTTAATAAAGGAAAAATATGGCTAAAAACCCAATGAATTTTCGCACCTAACTAACACAAGTCTGAACGCAAGTCACCGAGAAATTCGCGAAAATTACTTCACACGCGACAATATCGTCAAGATTGTTAAAATAAATAAATGAACCACACGGTACGTCCACGGATCGGAGGAAGCGTGGGAAAATATTTCCAGCGATCAGGCCGCAGCTGACCGGCGAGCGCGTTTGCAGCAAATTAGCATTTCCGCGAGGTCGCGGCACCTCAAAGAACGGCTTCGCCGGACGCGGCATTGTACGCCGCATTGTGTTACCGACTCATTCTCATCGTATTCTTTGCGAACATTCCTCCGTCCGTTTTCCAAGGGAAACGAACCGTCCAATCTTCGACCGGGGTTGGACATTTTTTTTTAACACAGCCTGCCCACCGCGACACCGAAATCCGCCTAATTGCGTGCATGCACGCACAAATTGAATGAATCATCCTCCCGCCGCAGCACAATAAACCGTATTTCCGGTTCACGTTCCGCGTGAAGTACGCCGCATCATTGCCACAGCAAAGTAATTTTTAATAAACGGCGCTTTTAACCATTTGAGTCCTCGTTATTGTATCTTGGAAATTTAGTTTGTGTTATTTCAATAGAGGAATAAAAATGAAAATATCGTTTGAGAAGTTTGATTTGGGACTTAAGGGATTAACTACGTAAATACGTAAGATGCGTACACCACTTAACATGATTTTCATTTATATCGTTCGTGCTTTTTTCCGTACATTTTGAAATTCTATATGTCGCGAATGCCAAGATAAGTTGATCTGGTCCAGAGGGTTCAAGAGCGACGAAGAAAATCTGTATTAAAAACCATTGCGTAATTAGCTCGGGTTTAATTAATGTAATTGCACGCACGCGCGCCCGCATACTGTCGTTAAGGAATAAACAACGCAGCAACGGAGATGCGTAATCTCGCTTCAGCTTCCCCCCTCCCCCCTTTAAATGATAATCGGTGCATGTAGTGCGAGGGCGCTAAGCGATTATACTTACTTCATTTGCTTCACTATTGTGCTTTTGCCCGATTCTCCCGCTCCTGAAAAACAGAGGAGTGGCGTCAGTAATTGTGCGCAATTAATCTCGCGATTGCGCGTATCGCCGAATTACATTACGAAATGAACTTTGCGCACTGCGCAACGAGAGAATCGAGGTTCTGGTTCTTCGTTTCGCTTTAGACGAAACTTCGTTTTGCCGGAACCCGCCAATTCTCACGGCTCTACCGGCTCAAAGTCCGTCGCTCAACGCTGCGAGAATCGAAAAGTTGCGACGAACAGAAGCCGTTACTCGTGAAATTGCCAGGAGAAATTGATTGGTTAAATTTGAAACATCAAAAAGCGCATCGGCTGATGCCGCAGTGATGAATCATCTCACATCATGTCAAACTCGCATTTTCGTCGAGCGATGCAAAAAGAAAAGGGAACATTCTCGTGGAGACTTAAGGCGTTGCAGTGTTTTTCCGAAGTGTTTTTAATTTCTCTTTTTAAATGATCCGTAGAAATTAATTTTTTTCGCGACAATATCGCGTTAGTTTGCGACTTTCGATATTTCAATACTAATCAACTAATGCAATGACACATTTATAGCAATATATTAAAGATACTCATAAGTAATTAAATATCTCGAAATGAAGGACATTTGTGTCTATAGATAAAACTGTTTTAATCAACGTTTTATCAACGATATAATAAGCTAAATGCCTGATGCGAATAACACACTAAGAAAATAACGCTACTATGCAGCTTAAATAGAAACTAACAAGTCTTGCATAATATTTGATTATACTTATATATACACCTTGTGTTTATACCGCGTATGCCATTAACGCAAATAAAAGTTGATATATAGAACCGACTAGAACACATTGTCGAGGTAGACTCGACGTAAGGTCGCGAAAGATTAACTTATCGTTGACAGTCGGAAAAGACGGTCCGGGGGACACTTCATATCCACGAAAATCAGATCGATGAGCGCGTCGGGACGGCAGAACGATTCGCGCCAGCCGCTCTGCTATATAAGCCGGATCGACAGAACTCGTTTTTCCTGCTTCCTCCACCGCGTTTCTCTCTCTCTTCCTCTGGCACTCGTTGCCTCTAACCATTTCTAAAGCACTTCCAGCGTGAGTGCAGCTACCTATAATAGCTACTCATGGCTAGAACCGTTTAATATCGACTGGTTGCACACGGGATATCTCGAGTGAGCATCCTATAGACGGCGGCCAGGAAGAAAGAGAGTTATCTCGAGGCGACCGACGATGATCCTCATCGCACCCTCGTCGGGGTAAAAACACGCGGAATAGAGCTACTAAATGAGTTGCAAATTCGCACCGAAAAACCATCGACGACACCACCGGCATGCTCCTCGAAGCCTCCGTTATTGGCTGGCGTGACGTCATGTTCCAGTCCTCTCTCTTCCTCCGTCTTTCTTTTTTTCCCCCCTCCCTGTCGAATTCTATTCTTTTTATATTCCGTTCTGCTCCAGCGAAATAGAGCCGGCTCTAAAATAGAGTGCGTTCTCGACGCTTCGATGAAACAAGATGAAATAAACTCTCCGCGCACGCTGCTTACTCTAGTTAATCCTCGTTAGACTCTAACTACGGTAACTTTAGTTAGAAATTTAACTAGAGCCTCGTCTGCTGCACACACCTACGCACACGGTGTCACTTTAATGCATCTCGCGGCTGGTTTTCGGTATTCTCGAGTAGCGATATCGTGCCGCTGGATATTCCACCGCGTCATGACGAACGTCCGTCCATTTTTAGCGAGATCATGATATTAATGAAAAAAAAACAAGGTAGTCTGCGAGGAGGATTCCTGAAATAAATTTTTCTAGCGAACATGTTAAATTTATATCATTTTCGTTAACCTAATATCTCCACTTAATGCAAAAAAAAATGTATAATAAAAATATATAATTATGTACTTCGAAAAAAACGAAACACAAAAATTTCGATCTATTCGTTACGGCAGGAAATGAAATGTTTAGAAAAAGGGAGCTAGTCAGTCCCCTTCTCCTTAACGTATAAATAACAAGCTATTCAATAAAACAAAGATATAAAAATGACACGCTAACTATGCGCTTTTACATCCAGATAACGTCGGTTTTTGCACCGAAGAAATCCGCGGAAAAATTTTAAGGGGACGATTTTTTCCGAGTCTTCGCATTTCTATTTCGTCGTTCCACGTGAAGCACTCATAATAGATACAACCTTTGCACATCAGCTGATAAAGTTGCTGCCAAATTTACGTACGTCTGTCTATCTGGACACGACCAAACCGGAACTGGCAGAGACGTTAACGACGCCTCTCGTATATCTCGCTTCCGGCGTAAAAGGAAGAGCTTACATATTAATACGTACGTTGCGGCGTCATTTTAATAGAGAGCCGCATCTCTCGCGATAAATGTCAGCCGCTATTCTACGCGTTCTACGCTACGTTCCTCGCTTGTAGGAGTGGGAGAGAAGGAGGGAGAGAGAGAGAGAACTGCACGATCGTATCTATTTTCACATCCGAGCGGAGAATGCAAGTCGATGCGCGATGATGCACACAGTGCGCGCACTGTATCCATCGTTATTTCCTGCAGCTGCCTAGCTCGCGGCCTCCTCCTCCTATATTCACCTGCTCTAACGGTGCGCACGGATGCCTTTTATCCATCGCGCGCGATAAACGCGGACGTGGCGATAATTTAGATAAATTCGAATGCAGAAGAAAGAGAAGATATTGTTTGGGCATCGTAGACCGAGCCAATATCGGCGCCGCCAGCAGGCCAACCGAGGAATTCGCAAAAATTCGACGCGAGCCGAGCTGAACATAAACTCACTGAGCGATTCACGGGAAGAAGTTCGTGACAAAAATTACCATAGAATTTTGTAACCGGGGAATATGTCGACATTTTGCTTTAATTTATTATACCTCGATTTTCACACACATGCGCTATTAATATTTTATTTATATCTAACAAAGGGGATATTCTAGGTGTTCTCCTTGCCGAGACACCCTATATAAAATAAATGAGCAATAAAAAGTATAACCATAACTTGAACGAATTGCACTGTATTTTCTATGTGATATAAATTTCAAATATACCTTAAGTAATACGATTTGTTAGGAACTCGTTCCATATTGAAAAATTTACAATATTCCTTAGCAAAATAAACTGACAGTTTATTCCTGTACTGCTAGAAAATATAAATAAAATGAAAACAAATTTATCTGAAAAATAGTTATAATATTCTCCGCATGTAACGGAGCGAAATCTGAGAATTTATGTTGAACCAAACGATACGTTCTCTTTTATTACGTACACGGTGTTTAACATGTACGTGATTATTAATAACCGGCGACATCGTGAATTTTACGTGAAAGTTTCGTTCGATGAACTTCCATAGGTCGAGGGTCGTCCATATATTAATTTTATGCGGCTAATTATCATTGATGATAAAGCCATAAAGAATGCACGTTAATGTTGATACTGAATATGTAAGTGAATATAAGTGTATGTTCCGTATTTTTTATTAATAGCAAATTAATAATCAAATAGAAGACTGGCTGGTTTTTCGACAAAGATCAGGCAAAGGTTATCCGCTTGTCGTCAATTTCGAATTATCGCCTCTAAAATTCCGAGGGAGCGTATAAAAACGGAACGTTCGAGCGTAAAGAGGCGAGGATAAAATATGTTGCGCATAAATCCGGTCGCAACGTTCCGGGAAGTAAAATAATAAATCGCATAATGAGAGCGCTTCGCGCAATAACAGCTCATTCGCGTATTCAATGTTGTGCCGGTTATCTCATTTTCGATGTTATTTAATTATCAATTTCAATCCTTATTTAATTCGCGGACGAGCGTCGCACGATATTGCGCACACGTGGAATTACGTTGGCTGTGTCCTAATTTATAGTATTCGATAAATAGAGACAAAATGTATTCTGCATTCGCTTTTAATTTTTCGACACAGTACTCTTTCTGATAGAATACCGTGAAAATTAGATCGCATTCCCGCGTAATTCTACATGTCGTTAGGTAATTCTGTGCTCGTTGAAACATTAAATAGCGATCGAGATTGAGAATTAAATAACTAGGCGAATTAGATAACGAACGTAAAATACGCAGCGAAGGAAGCACTCAGCTCTTATTACGTGATTTATGACCTTTGACTTTCTAGCATTTCGGCCGGCTTTACACCAGTGGCCTTTGCCATTTAGCGCATTTTACAAGGGCACACGCACTACAAGCTCGATACTGTTCTCAAGGGACGACTGCGCCTGCAAAATCCACAAGATTCCCGAAAACAACCACACATTTTGTGTTAAAAACAGTCCACTGAAATCCTCCTCCGGACGATTTTTCTCGCTTTTCACGCGCATTTTAAACGCTCTACATAACGACGCGTTAGGTATACCGCGACAAAAGAAGGCGTCTTGGTCTCGCTGACATTTAACGCCATGCGGCGATGCAGTAACAACGGCAGCAGTGATCCTGCATCGCCTTGAAATATACGACGTTTCGTATTTCGTTCGCAACGCCGTCGGGGCCACCGTTTAATCGGATGAAAATACTCGGAAGCAATTTGCGCGCGCGTACACGCACGCACGTTCCACCGGCGAATGACGTCACCGGTTACATCAATAAACAGGACCCACATTTCGTCGGAAAATCGTATCTTCGCCGGTGCTCCGCGATGGAGAGGCGGATCCGAGATTTTTTGAACGCGGCGCGAGGAAAACGGCATCGAAAGATAAAGAGCTTGCGGAGAATCCGCGCTGAACGCTCTCGAGGAGATTGAACAAGGACATTCTTGAGAGAACTAAACGACCGTTAAGTACAATTTTAATTATTCTATGTTATTTGTTATAGCGGCCTAGAAAAAATAAATTAAATTGAAAAGCCCAATCGATGGTTCTGGAACACCAGGTATGCCCTGATGTCCCGCGAGACGGAGAACGCGGCCGGAGAAGCGAGAAAGTAAATTGAAAACGTGCGAAGTAATTAGCGCGCCGGCAGATAAGCGAAGACAATGTACGCCGGTGCAGCGTTTTATGCCGCCCACGCGCTGATTTTGTTTTAATTTTAGCGCGGAGCGAACGAATGAAGAATTTTTCATTAATACCCTGATCGGGGTAGAGGCGCGATTAATCCGCGGGACGTGGACGAAAATTTGATGACGGAGGACAATTTTCTTCGAAATGGAGACGCAACGCAATATCGTACATTTGTATTCGAAGAATAAGCGAAGAGATATTCAAAAACTAATTCAAGTAGTACAAGTCAACAACAGGCCAGATAGTCAAAACATCTTCTTGAACAAATAATAATATAAATCAAAAAGTGGAAGATTTTTCTGGAACAAGTAGTATAACTCAACGATAAAATAGAATCGTATTAACCCTTTGCGCTCGAGAGGCACCACTGGATATGATGCGACAACTCGAGCCTCTCAGGCACCACTCGGATCGAGGCGGCAAATCGAGCGATAACGGTGTTTATTTAGATTTGGCCTAACGAATATCGCTTCATGAGTCTACTCCTAGCCCTTTGTGTGTAATCTTACGAGGTAATGGCTACAAAGATGTCTTATCATTTTAAGTTAACTGTAAAAAACTCATGAAATAAGCGGGAGCAGCTAACTCCTCTCGAGTTGCTGGTTCGCTCGAGCGAAAAAGGCGCAAAGGGTTAATAAAATATTACTATATTGTTACTACTATTTACGCAATTATTATCTCACCAAGGGTGCTCACCAAATATGATTCATCGGAATGTATAATCGAATGTTAATAAACGGACTCTGCGCGGCTCCTTTAGCTCTTACGATTTTCTACGGCGTTTCCCACCCACATACACACACGGAAATTCGTTATGAAGATACGGTGATTCCGTCGTATTTCGCGTGAATTAATTAATAATTTTATTTATTTTATTTTATTGTAAGCAAAAAGCAAGACATCCGTACGAGGAGATTACTATAACTGCCTTATCCGAATAATACAAATATATACAAGAGAACAAAACGATATGAAGTACACGTGGCCTGGATTTCTTAAAAAGTTACACCCATGAATTATCTTCGCGCATGCCCCGCGTGCTCAAGAAGAAATCTCACAAAGGACTCACTCTCCATGTCAACCGGAAATCTCGTGGTTTCTTATCCCCTGCACCGTGCGAGAAGTCACCGCCCGACAACACGTGGCAGCAACATGCGTGCCTTGATAACGCACATGTCCCTGACATTCGACAAATATTTCAAAAATAAGGGCCAAGAGCGTGCTCCGGATTTATCTTTCCAACTCTCTGTCTGCGGCAATCGCCGCCACGTCACCCAGTCTGAGCGGGAATATTTTTAGCGCGTGAGGTCACGTAGCCGACAGAGGAAAAAAATTTTAATCGCAGTAATTATTACATCTTTTTATAGTTTTGAAAGCTCGAGAAAACTGTTTTTCCCATTTTTCCGCGAATTTCTTTTGTTTCTTCTCTAAGAACAAGAAAAATCATTTTAAAAAGTACTCGGTCAAAACCTGCTACGTTTATTTTTTTTTTTTTTTTGTAAAGAATATGAGAAATTGAAAAATGCACTGAAAAATTTTTCGTTTATCAAATAATTCGAGGTTGGATAAATTAACATAAATTAGAAATTAAAATTAATTATGTATAAATCTAACTTATTCTTCTTCTAAACTATATATATATAATTTTATATATTATATATATTAATTTTAATTTCTAATTTATGTTAATTTATGCAACCTTGAATTATTTGAAAAATTTTTCAGTGGATTTTGTCAGTTTCTTATATATATATATATATATATATATATATAGTTTTGCATAATTAAATTTTAACTTTAATAAATTAATTTAATTTTAACTCAACTGTTAATTAGTTAATTTTTATTTAGATTATTTATAACTTAACTAAATTAATTATATAGGCCATTAACATTTAAATTAACTTCAAAAAAGTTAATTTATTCCATCCTACAAATAATATTCCAAAACAAAATTCGTCGTTTCCCCAAACGTGACGAATTTCTTTACACGTGCGTTTCTCTGCTGTTTTAAAATCTAAAAATTTGCAAAGGATCACACGAGACGTTAGAACCTTTGTTCATTTCAAAGTACAATCACGGAGAGAGAGAGAGAGAGAGAGAAAGAGAGGAGGGAGAAAGACGTTATCTGTCTTGTTACCGGTTACGTCACAAAGCGCTGACGTCGTTCATTAAACATTGACGTCAAATGATATCTGATCTCGACGCCGGCAATTATGCGCTTTCGAGCGTTCCGTTGATTGAAAGAACTGACGGCGGATGAGCGATCGGGCATTACCCTTCCGCGCAAGGAGGAACACGCTTGTTGCGCCGTTCTTCCGGTTTTACGTAGCGTCCAATTTCCTGCATGCCCGTCAATTTAAAAAGCCGGCTCCATCCATGAGCGTTCGCGAGCGGCTCACGCTGCCTCGTCGACCGTATAAGTCGTCTTTTTAACCCGGCTTATGTAGAACAAAATAGAAACGGCGCTCGAAAATTATTATCCCGCGGATGCAGGCAGGATTAGAACGCGATAAGAGACGTATGTAACGAGATCGCGTTCTGACGCGTTAATGTCCTTGAGAACAACGCGCGAGTATCGGACACGTTTTTTCTGCGTCGGATTATATTACGTACGGAAAACGCGATACGGTAGGATGAATTTTGCGCTGTCACGTGTTCGAAATATTCCCGACGTAATGATAATATTGTTGATAATTTCGCGGAGTTGAAAGCCACCGACGCACAAATCTACATTTTATTACTTAGACTCGACATAGGGCCGAAAAGGATGAAAGAAAGCGTCATACGATATACGCCGACATCGCTCTCGTTATTACACACACGCGGCAGAATTTCACGGAGATGTTCACGCAAAACGGAAAACCTCGATAATGATTGATTCGACGTGCATTCAGAATGTTAGGCAGATCAATAAAGGTTGAAAGCAGACAGCGCGCAACTCTCCTCGCCAATCATAGATCCGCCATAGCTCATGAAATATCTAATGCAAGAGAGAGAGAGAGAGAGAGAGAGAGAGAAGCGGCGGTGTAGATACGACGACGACGTCGCGACGTCGATATAATCGCGCGGTAGATCGCACGAAGTTGCATCGAACTATCCCGGGAGATTATTTTCCGCGACAATATTTACACACTTCCGCGGAAAACTTTCCCCCGTTCACGACGAACTTTGCCGCGTCGCCGATTAAACTCCTAAGCTAAGTGTTCGCGCGAATCTCGATCGCGATCAGCATCATTTTTCATCGTGTCTCCGCTAATCTCCGTTCGTCACTGCGATTTTGTGACCCGGTGTGATATTTAATTTCAAGCGGAAAACGCAACAATACCGAGCGATATCGCGAGCCGATCGAGACAATGAAGCTTCAAAAATAACCGAATTGCTCATTTGGCGCGAGTCTGTTAAATTTTGTAATTCGACAGCTTACTTTTTGTAATTCGATTTGCATCTTCAGCCGCAAGAAGTGACATGCCTTTATTTAAATTATCCCTCAGTTGCATCTTTGATGTTGGTATCCGTCGCGCCGGAATACGCCAAGGGCGAGTAGAACGGCTAATTACCCGTTGATCTTTCCCGCCGCCCATTTTCGCGTCTACAGCGTAGTACCATTATTTTTATAGCGACTCAATTTTAATCTAACAATATCGTCTTATTTTTCCCCAAGACACGTGTACTTTACTGACAGCTGGCGTTGCGCTGCGCAGATTATCGCATACTACTAGCGAAATTTCGTTAACATCAAAGAATAATAAATTTATCCACTAAAATTGTTGTACTGAGCAAAATATATGTCAATGTGTCAATAAGCTTGATTATTATTCATTAAGATTTCGAATTTTGACTGTTTTTCGGTCGCTAACAAAAATATCACAAGCCCAGGCAGAATAAATGTTTAAAGAATGCCTTAAAGACGTCTAAAAACGTTTCATTTTTTTTTAGATATCTTTCAGACGTCTTTAAGAGGATACAAGAAATTTGTTTTCGTCCAGGTCGATCGAGCGATTCGAAAGCACCCATCGACACGTGTTCGCGCACTCACCCCCGCCGGGGGGAATATGAAATGAACATATCGACAAAGTCGCGACTCACCAAGCAGCAGGAGCTTTATGTCCTTGGCCGCCTGGATTCCATCCTCCTTGAGGTTTTTCTCAATCTGCTTGCTGCGAGCCAGAGCGGCCCGCTCTTCCGCGGACATAGCGCACCCCATCTTGCTACACGTTGCCTTCACAAACGCCACCCCCACGCTCTTCTTCTCTCACCTGCTGAACAGCGCGGCTGGCAGGGAGCGGCCCCGTCGCCCGCACGAAGATGAAATCTCCCGCACTCTTTCCTCCTCCTCTGCGCCTCCTCCTTAACCCCGTCCTCCACCTCGTTCGTGGCCGTCGTCGCCACCACAGCCGACAGCAACACTACTACTACCACAACAGCTAGCACCACCACCACTACCACCGTAAACACTTTCGCCGCTACCACTGACACAGCAACCACCCGCGCCTTCACCGTTTCCACCACTTCTTTCTCCTCCTCGTCGTTCCGCACCACCTCCACCACTATCACTATCGCAACCTCCTCTTCCTCTTCCTCCTCCTCCTCCACCTCCGCCTTCCTCCTCTTCGTCCTCGTTTTCTTCTTCTTCGTTTTCGTCGTCTTCGTCGTCTTCGTCACCGATGCTTCCGCACCGTCGCCGGCAACCGCTACCGGCTGCCCTAACTACCTGGGTGACCGCAGCCACCCGCACGCAACCCCGACGACCGCCACACTTGCGCCGATTTAGTCGCGCGTCCGCTGCACCTGCAAGAGAAACAAGATGAGTTGAGTCAATGAAGCGATAGATCTTGTAATTCTTAAGGCTCTTGTTAAAGGCAAAAACTTAAGGTATGAAACATTGTCTTAAACCGATAAGTTAGCCATTTTGCTAAAGCTCGAACTTTGACATGCGACAGTTTAATTATTGCTTTCAGAGTAATTCGACCACGAAGTTCAAGTAATCGATGTCGCTCGACATTTTAAAGAATACACCTAGACGACGTAGAAACAATTGATCCGTTATGCAAGATGAATCCTTAATTATTAGCACTTCGCATATCTTCGAAACTGTGGGAGTTGGGGAAAAATTTCTGCTACAAAAGCTTTAGCTTGTGCTGCAAAAGTTTCAAGCTAAATAAAAATGGTCATCACGTGGTGGTAACGATTTTTTTATAGGTAGAGTCACGGTAGGTGGGGTTTCCTCTAACATCCCTAGTTTCCGAGATATTCAATACGCTGATAATTAATGATCGATACACTCTGTATCTGATATCTCTCGTTGATAACCATAGAAATGAAAAATCAATATAATTACGAGATATAAACGACAGATATAAAACGAGATATAATTCAATAATAAACAAGATGTAAATTAGCTTTAATTAATTTTTCAATTATAATTACTTTAAATTACTTTGTAACGTTGAAAATACGCTCTTTCTTTCTAAACAGCCGCCGATTCCAATTTTATATTAGACTACGCATTCATTTTCATATTCTCCCTCTCTCTCTCTCAATTTATCCATACTTATCCCAATATAGAAACGTAAGTCCTCGAAATGACAGTTGATTCTACGTTGCTATTGTACGTCCGTTTCACTCGCATCGTCGCTTTATAAAGATTCTGTCCTAAGAAATAGCCGCGTACACGGGCTGCTCGTCGTTATTGTTGTCGCGGATGCGTTAAGATAATCGATTATGTCTAATAGAGTCGGGATTAGATCGCCGATACCGACGTTATTTAACCAATCCTCGCTTCATCGAGCGTATACATCAGCGAGTGTAAAGAGGAGATGGACGACACTCGTTTTCGCTCTCTTCCAGCGAGTATACGACCTCGACTTGGCAGATTGCCCGCGTTTGATACACCGAAAGGTTCTCGACCAATCGCCCTGATAACGTCGTTCGTCGCGTCTCGTTATTATTCCTCTACTCGCCAAAAGAGAGAGAGAGAGAGAGAGAGAGAGTACTGGATAATAGTTTTATTAGGCTGCGGTGCATCGTAACCGCTCGATGCAATTTAAGAGCCCGTTACTGAGCACGATCTAATGTCATTAATCGCAGATGAGCTGTTCAGAGCTCCACAATGATAGGGAGAAGCCGCCGAATTGGTAAAACGAGTTGCATGATTCACGTAATGTATATGACGGATGAATATTATAACCTTTTTCTTTTTGTATGAAATTTTTTTTCAATTTTGACATGTTTTCTAATAATGCAAGAAGACTGTCAGTAGAATTCATCTTGCTAAGAAGCATAAAATTGTGAGCAGTAGACAGTAATTAATAATACATAGTACTTCAATTCAAAAACATAAATAACATGTATCAGAAACGAGTGGATGATCAATTAAGACAGAACGTTTATATATTCCTCTCGATTACAAAATTCTACGGTAATTTTTATTATAAAATTCTTTCCGTGTATCTCCATGTAAACGTAAATATATTTCATTCATGTACCCACGTGGTTTCACTTCTCAATAGTCGTTGATCTCTGATACTGTTTCTTGACTTCCAAACACAAAGGAAAAATGGTAAATATATTTGTTCAATCTGAACGAACTGGACAGAAAATATGGAAGTACAATTTGGCAGGTAAAATTTTGTATCGTATAAACGGGTAGCGGGAAGCTGCTCGTTTCGGTTAGACGCAATAGTAGAATAGGTTTACGTTTAGTCAGCCTAGCCGACGCATTTCGCAGAAAGAGCGACGCACGTCGGAAAGAGAGTGTTACGATGAAACAGGAATCAAATTGCGAGTCTCTTGATGAGCTATTTGAGAAAACGCAATCCAACCTACCCCGAGTCACCGAGAATAAACCCAACTTAACCGGTATTCCATGAGAAAAGAGAATAATGCTGAAACAGATTCTCTCAATTCTGTTGCAACGAAATTTCGGCGGCGGCAACCTGACACGATTCGACGGAGAAAATCAAATTTTTACAATATTAACATACAGTATTTAAGCCCAGAAATCTTATGAAACGTCAGTCCTGAAATAACATCGACAAGTCGAAGTCGCAAGTGCAACATCGTCTGGGTGAAATTAATTAATCTCTCGTTGACCCCGGCAGGCGGATAATTAGATAAAACGAATGCTAAGAATAATTTTTGCGAAAATAGTAATGTCAGCGTGAGGGGCAATAATCAACCTCAATGAATGATTTTAAACCAATTAATAGATCAACGGTCGTTTCCTTTCTCGTTAATGCACTAGATTATTTTCCGTGTAGCATTTTAAATTTCGATTCTTCTGTTCAGTAAGTATTTTCTAAAATTGAAATTTTCATACTCTTAATTTTATGAATTTAATATTTGTCACAATTGTTTTAACACATACAAATAAATGTCTATACGAAGAAAATATTGCATACAGTCGATTATATTTTTACTTGTAGTAAATATTTGCCAAGGAGTATCGGAACAAACATTTTACATGGATCAAATAAATATGAATAAATATGGAAAGGTAATACTTTTTTTCAGTGTATGGATACCTCCTCGTAATAAAAATAATTGCGAAACATTTCGATTTCACCGAATCGAAATCGTATTTCGTAGGGTACCCGTGCTCCATCGGTATCCACGTCTCCTCGAATTCTACATGGCCCGCGTGCTCGCCTGCCATCGATCCCGGAACACCCCAGGATACCGTCGCGAATCGAACGCGTCGAAATTGTTCCGGTTTCGACGGGTAAATTTTTAACCGGCGGGAACCCGGTGTTCCGTCCCCCCATGGTTTATTCGTTTGTTGGATTGCACGTACATCTCCTCGCAAGCACGGCATTACGTGGAAACACACCGTACGATCAATAAAATGCAACGACCTGATATAATGGAAGCGATACGCGTCGCGCGCTTCATAAAATACCATCGTCGGCATAGCAAGGCTAAAATACGGCGGGAGACGCGACAAAACGAGCGCGAGTCTCGCCGAGACTCTTCGATTTATCGACCTCTTCGCGGCTGGATCTACGGCCTCGTTTCTATCTCGCGCTCTTTATTAACACGGAGGAACTAGCCGCGATTCGTAACAAAGTGGAGCTCGTAGCTTCAGCCAGACCAGCGATTCTCGATTGTTACACCGGCATGATAATTAATTCTGCTCTTCATACCTCCATTTTCTCAGTTCTTTTAATTTCTTTCTTTCTCTTCTTCCACCTCTTCAAGTGTGTATCTATTTTAAACGCAGATGATGCAACAGACCTATTGTTTCGTCAGACCGACGACATTAAATGCACTTCGATATAACGATCGACGATGGGGAAATTACGTCACGTTTTAAAGATAAAGGAATGCGACGCACGGATTCTACCATTAGCGTGATTTCGAATTAATTATCGTTTGCGCTTTAATTACAATAATGATTTTGATCGACTGTGCTGAGTTGGTTGAGCACGCGGTGAGGAAAATATATTTCGCGAGAGAACGAGTTTCTGGGCTATCGAGGCACGCAAATTTTTCTTTTTGCGCATCGCGGAGATTGAAATATCCCTCTTTATAATTTCCACGAAAACACGTTAGCCCACGTGTACGCCGTAATTTTACCATGCATTGTGAACGATGTTATCGCTCAGCTCGCGATACATTCTGCGCAACGCGAGACGGCGTATCAAGTCGTAAAGTGAAATCATTAGAATGTTGTTTACCTCTTCGTTTCCCGAGCTCGCATCCATAATTCGCGACAAAGTCACATTGACGAGGAAACGTTTGAAGAATCGAAATCGCACACGTTCGTACTTACATCGGTGCGTCTTCAAACGTTTCCACCATTATACTGAGTGCACGCATAAAAAGTAACAAATTCTCTCTTTCGAATTCCATCGCGAATTGCCCTAAGTGGACTTGCAAAAATACGAGAGTTTGCGTTGAAAAAGAATCGCGATCGCCATTCTATGTCCACTGCTGTTTCAGCGCAATTCGACAAATGACAAAAAAGAGAGGAAAGGAGAGAGAAATAATCGAACAACATGTAATAGTGCCGCACACAGTACTCGCGATCCACCAACTGCCATCTTCTCCTTCAGCGAAGTACTCGTCGTGGGACGACGAGTACTCTTCGCACTTTTGGAACAGCACCTCTCCCGCGGTGGTCCTTAATTTTTGCCACCCCCGTGAAACAGAATCATAGCAGTTAATGGGTGAATCGAGCGTCGGCGTACACCAGTCGCGCGTACTCCGAGAAAACCCCCGCCCACACACACACACTCTCTCTCTCTCCCTTCCACCTCTTTCGCCCCCGCAACCAAGGTAACTCTCGACGATGTCACCGCGGAGGGCACAAGCGAATGCTCTCCCTGGCGATCCGTCGATACGAAATCGAACGTGTCTACGCACCTCCTTCGCTGTCGTATCCTGGCTAACGACGGGATCCTCTCACTCTGCGTCTCTTTGATCCCTTTTCCTCCTCCCTCTTCTCTCTCTCTCTCCTTGTTCTCTTCTTCTCCTTGCTCACACTCTCCTCTCTCTCTCCCTATCTTTCCCCGTTCTTCCGGGAGTAGTTTTTCACTCGGTTCAGGCTATTTGATCGATATTCCGGGAGAAGGTTTCCGGCAGGAGAACGCTCGGTCCGCCCGAGACCGGGAGGAGGCGTTAGGCGAGGCTCGACGTGCGCGCGAGAGAGAGAGACACTCTCCCTGTAGCGGCGGACACCACACACACGAGCGAGCGTGCGTGCGACAGATACGGTTCGTTATCGCGTCTCTCGCGGTCGCTCTCCCTCCGATGACGGCTCACCGTCTGTTTCTTTCTCCCTCTCTTAATCTTTCGTTCGTCCGGCGAAGAAAAGGCTCCGGAGCAACTTCAGCGCGCCGGCTACTCGCAACGTTCACGAACGCAACGACAGGGGAGTGGGGTGCAGGCGACGAGATGGATCCCGAGAGACGGATAACCGACCCTACGCGTCGGCCGGGGATACGAAAAGTTTACACGACGCGACGTCTCTTTGTCGCCCTTCGTTACACGCGCGCAACGGAAGAAGGCCGTCTCTCCGAGCCCGACAGTTACGACTCCGGGGGCTCGCGCGTTGCTCCGAATCTCGGGGATTCTCGCGGCCGACAGCTGCTCCGCGAAAGTCGCACTCTTGACAGCGGCGAGCTGGAGACGCGTACTGGCGGCGGATCGGCCGACAACCACAGCGCCCTCTCGCCCCGCCCGACGCCGCCGCGCGCGCGTCCCGTCGCGTCGCAACGTTACGCCGCCGTCACCACCGTCGCCGGCGGCGCGCAAAGGACGTCAATCGATCCCGGGACCGGCCGGCCAATGTTCGTCTCGCGCGCCGACCCGGATTGTTGCGCGCGCGAACACCAATATCCCGAGAGCGCCCGCCTGGCGCCATCTGCCGTTGTCGTCCTGCATTACTCGGCCCATTGCGGACCGAGTTGTGAGCGGCTGTTTTTTATCCTTGTGGCACAGGTCGAAACTCAACAATACAATGACCCGTATATAACGATGTTAGCGCGCTAACAAGTCCCGAAGAGAAATTTTGCTATAAACATGCGTGATCATCGGTCTTTTTCCTAACAGAGCACCGTTATCACCGAGTTTACAATACGCGAACGATACTGAGAATACTCATATCTCTTGACTTGTGTAGCGCACTAATATCGCTGTATGTATGTTCGGAATACAAGCCAATGCCTAAAGAACGTATTAATAGTCGTTACTTGAAACTTATCCTACGTGAGATCACGTAACTTTTCCTCAGGGCGGATATGTGAAAAGTGAAAATTCCAAATGTTTTCAAACTAGAAAAAATTTATATTTTTCACCAGTTTATACTGAAAGGAGATTCATAATCTATCTTCTACGAAGTCATGAATCTTCTCTAACGTAAACTCATGAAAAGTATACATTTTTTCGAATTCGAAAACAATGGAATTTTTACTTTTCATGTTTTCGCTCCAGGGAAAAAAGTTACACGATCGATATCCAGATATGAATTTAGAGTTGGAGTTGAGTTTTTCATTTGAATCACATTTGAAAGCGCGACTTAACTGAAAAATTCACATCTAACTCTACATTTGCATCTGAATATCTCATCCAAGGAAAGTTTCAAGTAATAACTATTATAAGTAATAACTATAAGAAACGGAAACAGCTCTAAAGCGTCTCAATGTTAAATGACAAATTCGACTTTATGTGAAAATGGGATGAGAAATAGTAACATGAAAGATATGATCGATGTAAAAATAAATCGTTAGCTCGGCTAGGGTCGCTTCGCCAAATATTCCAGATGATGAGAGTGTCGCCGTTGCAGAGAGACATATTAATACTGCGAGATACAGATGTGCGCTCTTCAGCAAAACGCTTAGAAAATGTGGTCCTCGTGGCACGTAATTTTATTGCTTATAACTCGACAATATATTTATATATATATATATATTACAAAATTTCGATTATAAATCATATATAAAGAAATTGTTTAGACTTACCTTAAGACTGTAACTCGCGCCACGAAGACGACCGATCTTCACGAGTCTTACGCTACGACATTTACGATTCGGCAAAATTACATTCTACAATCACGCCGCAAGCAAGTCGAGATACATCCGGGAAACTATCGAAACAGAAATTCTCGATCGATCCTAGTCGGACAGAGATTCTGACGCGCGCACAAGGACTCACGCAGCTCGCACAAGTAAGGGAATACAGCTTGTATTTATTTGTCGAGTAACGACTTTATAACGTAATCGCTGGTATTAAGTAGTATCGTATAATTGCGGATTAAAAATGCTTATACACAATTAAAATCGTACGACACCACAGACAGTATACGATTTTCTCACAATCGGAATCCTCACCTAGTAACGTCGATTCGTCTCGCCTTAATTGTGCATCGTTAAAAACGGAGGCTGAAAGCCGATCGGGAGGCTGATCGTAAATCTTCTCCTTCGCCGTAAGCTTGTGCAAAAGCGGAGATCTGTCCAGCTTGAAAGCATTCGATGGCATTTCCACTTGTCACGAGTTTACCCCGGTAGCACAATTCATTGGGCCAATATTGGCCACAAATTGGATCTCAATATTGACTCACGCTTGTAAAAGGATTCACGATCGCGACCCTACAAATCTCGACAATCTCTCTCGAATCGAGCGGCTGAACGTCGCAATTGCTCAATCCGCAATTTCTAATAGCTAGACGAGAAAAACGTGGATTTGGCAACTGCGACTACGAGCCAAGTCGACGGCTCGTTGGAGAATTGTGGATTAGACGCGCGCGGCATCCAACCGCTCAATCGCCGATGTTACAAGTGCGAAAACGGCTTTAACACGTTGACTGCTACAGTGACGTTAGGGAACTCATCAATGTGTTATTTTAATTGCGATAATCAATTATATTCATTATTCAGCGAAATTAATGCACGATAAAAATGTATTCCTACGCGAGTTAACTCGCACTTGGCGTTTAGAATAGAGAATTTTTTTCGTACGGCAGCCACAAAATAACTCGTGTTTGGCGGTCAAAGTGTCAAATATTGAGTATATTTGTCCTAATTATATAAATATTATCCTATCTTTGTATGTCACAACGTACGTTAAAATTCAGGAATCGTAACATCGGCGTTCGCAAAGATCCGTCGAGATCGCATCGACCTTTCGGTCCCCCGAGTTAAAAGCGCCGTGCCGTTATCCATCGAGTTTACACGCGTGTGCTTGACTTATTTACATTGTTACTTGGTATGTTACACTTGAGTTTCTCGTGTACGTGAAATGTCGAAAGCGTTTGCCATAGTAATCGGAATCGAAAGCTCATAAGTGTAGCCGTATTTACACCGTCGTGCTTCGAAAAGCTCTCCGCGCGCGGCTCTCGCCGAGCCGGAACCTCGTTGAGCTTCGCTAAGAAAAACCGGACTGAAGCTCGTATTAATGGTTGTCACTTGAAACTTGCCTCATACGAGATACTTGTATTTCAATTCAGAGTTGAATCTCTCTCTCTCTCTCTCTGCAAAATTTTCAGTTGTACCATATGATATATGATGTTATATTTGTAATCGTTATTTAAACGGAAAAACTAACATCTAATTAATATATAAATTAATAACACAGGTTAACACCAAAATTTTTGTCAAGTAATTCTAATTAGAATACATGTTCCTTATAGATTTTCGGTCACAAAATCTTTACAATCCTGTGTAATTATTATCTGAAATTCATCTCAAGTGAGATACTCAATTTGAATTTAGAGTTAGACGCCAGTCTTTCAATTGAATTACGATCACCAATATAATATCACGTGTATCTTGACGATTTTAAATTGAAGAACTCGAATCCGACTCTAAATTCAAATCTGAGCGTCTCACGGGAGACAAGTTTCAGGCAATGAGCATTAATACGGACTCAAATTGAAATCCAAGTATCTCGCTTGAGACAAGTTTCAAGCAACGATTTGCTAATCCGGGCCTAAGATACTCGGTGCTTCTGATCGATCGATTGAAAAAAAGAAAAAAGAAAGAAACAGCGTACAGCCTCGATATATATATATATATATATATATATATCGTCGTCATACTGCATTTCGGGACGTCGTACGTTGCTCTTGCTTGTCATTTATGCCACCACAGTGTATCCTCCTTCTTTTATTATTATTATTACAAAGTATTGCTAAAAACATGTGTCATAACAATATGAACTTTCGATTTGGTTCTATTGCGACATACAGAGTGTTTCGTCGGGCCCGATGTGTGTGTGTGCCTGTTATTCCACAATTCTTAATGACAACGTCGCTGCCGCTTAAACGTCCCGTCGCACAGCTATCGTGTGATATGTTATAACCGCGCGACGACAAGGCGCAACGACAACGTCATTATCGCCAGAAGGTTAACGGAGCAACAACACACAGACACTTTTGCGCACTCCTCGAATCACCCTGCAGGACATGCTCCTCTACGCGGAAACTTATAGCGACGACATAGGTAAGTAGTTTAGTGTTCTCTACTAAGACGTACATGTCACGATTTCGTTACACACACGACGCCACAGCTCATTTATATAACTACATCGTACACACGTATAAAAATAACGTTTCTATCGTAAAATATGTTTCAACATACTCAGAGTTTAGAAATAACTAATTCGATGGCCGTCGCCACGTTTTGTGTTTGCCCGTCGTCTTCCTAAAACTGGATCTCGAGACGCGACTCTCGGGTACGTAAACTATAATTATCGTCATATCAAAAAGCATAAAGTATAGATATATTATATGTATATATATATATATATATATATATATATATATATATATATATATATATATTGTGTGCACACACCACACGCACGCCCGCACGTGCGTCACCTACGCGCAGTGATACCGCGAGATATGTTGAAATATGCATACACCACACGGTGCATACCGTGAGACTCGTTTTATATAACACGAAACAAAACGTACCTACTACTCGTGCTCGCACAATTTGCGAAAATTAATCGAACCATTTCCAACCCGCACGCGAGCAAAAACCAAAAAAGTTTCTCGCAATTCCTCGAATAATTCAAACTCTAAACAGAAAAAAAATTTTCTCTAAAGTATGTATGTTTTTCTATATAATTATATCATCTAATTATATAGAAAATTTTTTTCCCGGGTAATTCTCTCAGTTTCGCAGGAAACGAATTTATTCGCGTACGTATGATACATCTTTCCGACATCTTTTGCAGCATCGCAAAATTATAGAATTATAAAATCTTACAAAACTAATAAAACAGTAATACGTTCTTTCTTTCTCGGTTAATTAGAAAATTGGTCTCTCGGATACGGGCTAATTAGAACGGTGTAGACGATTCGCCGCGATGCAGGAGCGAGACACTGGTGGCAAGTGATAGCCGGAGAGAAAATATGTGCGCGCGTGCGTGTGCGTTCGCGTTAAAGTGCGAGTAATCCCTCAAAGTTACGTAAAAGCGAAGAAGTGTTTGCTGCTTTCCTATTTTACATCACCTGCGCTGCTGCTCTCCTTTCTCCTTTTCCTCGATCTCTTTTAATCTTTACGCTAGCTACATTTTTTTTGTGCACGAGTTGCTTGTGAAAGAGAATCTTGGCTCCGGGTGTATGTGTGTGTGTGTGTGTGTGTGTGTGAACATTTACTACTTCTCCGACGACAATCACGACGGTGATGGTGCGTGCTCTACGCGCGTCGTATGTATCGCGTCCTCACGAGTCTCGTTACAAACGGAGGAAGAATGCGCGCTCTCTTCTGCTTCGTCGCGAACGTATACACGACACCGACATACAGAATGCGACACCCAACGACCTCCTCAGAGCTAGACTGGTGTAGGTAGGATCTTCCAGGAGTAACGAAAGCGACATAAAAACACGCGCACACGGAGTGATCCTTGCCTGTGACTTTCACCACAAATTCCATTTAAATTTATCGACGATTAACTCAGACGACAGAGTTGTCGCAATATAGAAAATAAAACATGGTTTATTGTTCCAAAAGAGTAAGAGAAATTCTCTTGTTTACCCGTTATAACTTATTTAAAGCTGCTATTAGTCAAGTAATAACTCTTCCATATTTTGCTAAACACACACACACACACACACACAGAGTACAGAATTTTGTGTTAAATTTAACACATATCCCAAACGGTCCACTCAAATTCTTGTATTAATTTAATTTAATACATGTTAAGTTAAATTAACACAAAGTGAATATATTGAAGAATAATACATACTATGTCAAAAATTAATATAAAATTAATATGACGCTAATCGATACTGAAGTATAAAATGTGTTATTTTAACGCTTGCACACATTGAATATTGACACAAGACAAAATGTTGAGGTAACAAACACAATATGTTAAACACATAGGTATGTTAAAAATTTAGTGTGAAAACAGAGAACGATTTTAACATAAATACAAAATTTCTTTTACTGTGCAGAATAATTAATTCTTTGCTTGGTGTTGAACGACAAATTACATAGCTAGAAATCGCGCGGTTAGCAATTCTGTCGGTTAATCATCGATGAATCAAGTCTGAGTTCGACGAAAGTCACTCCTGACCGAATGTCCCTGTCTTGAAAGTAAAGAGTGATGCCACGAAAGCGTGAAAACTACAAAATGACGTCGTATGAGATATCGTAGGCTCAATGCATCTTTTACCCTTTTAGACGATCACTGCTCGATGCTGAAAGCACGAACACGCGCGATCGATGATCACTCCGTGACGCACGCTCGACGCGGGCGCCGATTCAGCAAGAACAAAAAATGAATTTACGTCGGATAGGCACATTACATAATGTATCTTTATTACCTAAAATATGCACTTCGAAAGACTTAGCAGGCAGGTATGGGGCAAAACGAGACACACATTCGGGAGCCAACGCGAACGAAGGTCACAAGGACGCAAGAACAAACGTCGACGTTGCTGTTACTCGAGTGAGCGCGCGCGTCTCTCGCTAAACGTCATCGTACGCCGTAATGTCGTCGATCGAGCCGAACTGGTCCGATACAAGAATGTGAGCGGGGGGGGGGGGGGGGGGGNAGGAGATCGATTTGCCGCCGGTAGCGTAACTCTAACAAATCGAAGTGTAACAATAACGAGTTCACCTTTTCGAAAAATCAGTTCCGATCGGCCTGTACACACACACACAATAGGTCGTAGATTGAGAATTTAACAAACACGGTCGTCCTGGCGGGATACTCGCGATAACAACCAACAACATGCGCGACGAAAACAAAATGACTTATAAAACCCACTTGGCCAAATCATTGCTGTATTCGCACATATTCGTTATCATAGCTCTATCTATAGTACATAAAACAATAACACTAAAAATCATTTAATTCGAGTAATTCTATCTTTAATTAATATGATTTCCTCTTTTTTTTTTCTTCTTCTTTGTATATATAGTAAATTATTGTATTTAAACGCACGCTTACGCCTAGCTGCATACGATTTTCTGGTTTGTGTTTTTTTTCTCCTTTAATAATATATAATATAATAATATACTATGTCGCATATAAAAAACAATTACTTAGTATAGAGTACAAGATCGTTCCTTAGTTAAGTTTTTGTTTCTTGTTTTTTTTTTGTTTTGTTTCTCTCGTAACTATTTATATAAACGTAAGATCTCGTCCATCTTCTCTAAAATGAACATGCGTCCGCCGCTCCCAGAAGAATCACGAAAAAATCGGGGATACACAAGGTGATCGAGAATGACCACACAGAAACGAAGCAAGAGGGAAAGAAAAAAAGAAAACAAGATACTCTGTCGTTTGCGTTGTACGCGAAAAATTTGGTAACGGCTCCTGCGAGCCGAGGGTTACAGTGAATTTTACAAGGAAGAGATTGGAGTCTCAGCTCGTGCGATCGATTTATCCGAAGCGAACGAAACACATAATTATTATTATTATTATTATTATTATTATTATTTATATATACACGTGTCATTTGTCACCCCCTCCATGACGATGGACCATCAACGAATTTGGCTACACCTGAAAGCGGTGTGTTCTCGATCGATTATTTCTCGTTCCTCATCTCGTGTGTAGCGCCCTGACACAACTCGCATTTTAAATGCAACTAAATTTGATTTTACGCGTCAACCTCGTGCGTTATACATAGAGCATACAAGAGAGTGCCACTGCGACATGACGGTAAGAACTTTCCATCGTTCGCTCTCTCTCTCTCTCTCTCTCTCTCTCCTTCATCGGCACAGCGATGATGTCGCTGTTAACGCGAATTGACATTGACTATACATACATACGATTTATCACCGACAACGGTACTCTCGCGTCTCGGAATCTCGTGTCGTGTATTGCACAGTCGCAGCGTACCGATTTCAACGACGGCGTGAATAACAGTTCAGAGGCTGTCGAGTGAATCACACGGCGCGCATTTCTGGATATACATACATACACATACATATATATATATATATATATATATATATATATATATAACACGCTGTTAATCGCGGATTAACGTACTTCGAGAGTTTCGTAAAACGAAGGCAAGCTGACGTCCTATATAAAAGAAAAGAGAAATCAAAAGGGGGGAAAAAACAGTAAGTAAAGGGGTTCTTTCCGAAAATGATATAAAGTCACAACATGTCAAAAAAACGCGCGGTTGTGACCGGTCGCGCGACGACCGGCCGCCGGGAACGGAGGATCAGCATCGACTGCCGTATTTTTTCTCGCTCTTGGTCGGCGTAATCCAAAGTGACCGTCCTTCCGATTTAAGCTAAAAATTCATGAGGTGTCATTTTGGTTGGCAGGTCTGAGCGTTCACCTTGTGTCGTGTTTGTGGTGTGAGATCGAGCCAAGGCACCGATGAATCCGGCTGCTCTAGCTGAAGAGGCACGCGACATCGCGATGTTGCTGCGTTAACAGAATAATCTGCTCCACGTTCCGCCTCAGCATCCTATAAAATTCACTTATTCAGTTCGCCTGCGCCACACGCGCGCCCGCACGCACGCGGGTCCGACGGGAGACACAAGAGAGAAAAAAAGAGACAGACAAAGAGAGAGAGAGGTACGGTTTGTGAACGCAGCGTAAAACGATCGAATCGCTCGGACCGGAGGAGCGACCTTTAAGGTGATGCGCGCTGATGCACTTCCTACCTTACTCTTTCTTTGTATGGAGTTTCCATACCTGGATAAAAAGGAAAAAATACGTCTGCGTTATTTATTCAGAAGAAAAAGTTGGTTCGTGTTTTTAAACAGTTTATTCTTAGAAATCATTTTTTTTCTTTTCAAGAGAGAGAGAGAGAGAGAGAGAGAGAGAGAGAGAGAGAGAAAGAGAGATCGACCACGCCGACACATTCGCGTGTTCATTTTCGGAACTCGACGTGAGGCTCATCGCCTCGCCTGAGTTTTCATTATCGAACGTTCCCACACACGACATCCTCGATCAATTTGCGAATGACTATTTCTCGGCGAGTCGATTCCGACTGACTCCACGCTCGCGAATACAGAGCAAGTCCAACTCACCAAACTCGCGCTGGTAGAAGAGGCGGACGTGGTAGCAGAGGTAGGCACCGTCAATATTGGATAATATTATCTACTACCGCGAATCCGCATGCTCCCAGCCCGGCACTCGACATCAGTCGAACGAGTTCCCTTGCATGGGACGCGGCAACTTCCAACGGTGGTCGACGTGGAAGATTGCTCGATTCTGTTGATCGAAACAACGGTGATCGATAATCAATGTAAGATGGTAATCGATGTGAATCCTCTACAAAGCCAAGTTACGGTAATGTCAAGTTTAAGAATGCTAAGTATGTGCAGAGATCACATTTAATATTACATGATAAATGTCGGCAAAATAAAATAAGAGAAAGCATCTTTCTCCGTAAGAAAGACAAAGAGCACTTATAGAAGGTAGAAAAAAGTGTCTCTTCCTATTTCTATGTCGTGATTAAACTCTCACCCAATATAGCAGAATTCAGCCTGGCACAGACCGTCTCCCTCTGTTGCGGGTCAAGCTGCCAGCCGACTGGCGAATTCCACGGATTGGCGTACGCTAAGAGACTGAAAGCGTCCTGCAGCATCTTTTTATTGCTCTCGTTCTTCCCGTGCTGCTGCCTCAAGTGTACGGATTGTGAGTACAATTGTTTACCGAACTCCAGCATCTTTTCGATCGCCTGCTTGTTACCGCCGCACAATTGCTTTTTGTTACTTTTATTTGTCGTATTATCGGCGCTAATGCTGCAGTCACCGTTTTGCTGCTGTTGCTGACTTTGATTGGCACTATCGATTTCTTCTGCAAACAGCAATAATCGCTCGTCTCAAGAATCACGGACTTAAATGGCCAAAAGTAACGAATCACTAACGAACGCAAAGCAGTTAAGTCGATTCATACTTATATTTAATCCAAAGAAAAGAATAGAATAGGCTTATGAAAGCTTATGCACGGATTTATCGGTGCAATTGTATCGGTGCGAGTAATGGAACATATTTACGTCAATGAACAACCAGACGTTTCGGTCCTAAATAATATTTTGAAGACGATAGCATTGGATTAAATATAAGATGTACTTTTTTTGAACCGAGTACACCGTTTCTTCATATCGCGACCTTCATTTACCTATTATCCGCGTTTTAAAAGTCATTCTATAATAACGTAATATATGCAGTAAGACGTAAGCTAATTGATCAATTGGGTTCTTAAGAACAATCGGTTGTAGTTAGTCAATTAGCTTACTGATGGAAATATGATCTATACGTCTGTAAAGTTAGAAAATTATTGACTAGTCTTTTTCAGTAGATAATAAACTTAAATGCAGAGGCCCCCAAATATCGCCACTAAAAATCCGGCAATCCACGGGTCAACTGCCTCGTATCATCAGAAATGTGTCATCTATGATTACAACCGTCCTTTGTAATGTAATCTATATATTTGGATAAACTGTTCAGAGAAACGATAGTTAATATATATCCAGATATCTCACCCATATCTACATCCTCTCCATTTTGACACTTGTACCCGTTCGAGCTCGCGTTGCTATTCTGATATCCGTTGCTGTTCTTGACACCATTCACAACGTTAACGCTGCTTTCCTCCATGTCAACGTCGTCCTCTATTTGGCCATTGACGAACTGTTGGCCGCTGTTGCCGTTCATCGTGTTACTGATATTCATCTCTTCTACGTTACTGTTCACCGAGGATTTCGCGTACGCTTTGGTCGACTGTATCACGCTCGTTTGATTAACACTGTTGCCGCTCTGGCAGACTTCCGAGTCACTGCCGTTTACCATTTCAACGAACTGACGGCATTTCAGAGCGAACAATAGATTCGGATCCCTATCGAGAAGCCCGGGATATAATCGACTAGTTAATTCTATCGCCTCACCCATCCGTCCGGCTAATACCAATTTTAAGATCCCTGCGAATCATCAAATCACGATGAGAATAAGGGGGAAGAAATGCTTTTAGCGAGCGAACAGATCGCTGAAAAACTTACTTTGTCGATTTTTGATAGAGTTGTAATCCTCCTCAAACACTTGACCTGTACTGTTGGCAAACGCTTCAGCAGTAGCGCAATATCCATGATGGACGAGATACGTGGACACCATCCTATCAAATTCGTACAGAGCTTCGTTACTCCGAAAGATCGACGATGAATACTTGAGGCGAATGCCCACGCAAACGCTAACTTCTTTGACTAATAAATGAACGTTTAATTTCGACCCCGTTGCGTTATACATGTCCCGCGGTAAGTTCGTTTTACGTTAACATTTAACCAACGTTAAAACATTATATTTAACTTACTTTCTTACATGTAACATGAGTGGTAACATATATATACACACGGAAAACAAATATCAGTTCGTGTAATAAAATCAGAAGCCTGCAAGCAAGGACAAGATTCGATTCAGTCCGAGATTTGGCCTGATTTATTATCAAATATAATTCAACCCGATCTCGACCGTTCACGTGGATACATACTTGTGAAGAACTTCTTGCCATTGGCCCTGGCCATGATCCGGTGTGGGATAGTTTATGATCTGTAATCTCGTTCGGACACGTAGTTCGTTGATCATGTCTCCAATGTCGAAGACAAATGGTGCTTGCCCAAAGTTGGCATCTACGACTTCACCCGGAGTCTGTAGACCGACTGTCGGATAAAGATTGGGCTGCGAAAGCAAGTTCGAATGAGTCCGTGCCGTGAAAGAATTCGGTTCGCGCAAGACGAACGATAAATACCGTAAGTCTTGCAACATTTTCAAAGTATCAGAAATCGATTTTACAGCTGTCACTTCAAAGTGAAATTAGAATCTGCGGACACATCAAACCCTAGCTAGCCATATTTATTTTCAAATCTTTAATTCGCCACATTCCAGTCCATAAGACCGTTCGACTTTTGTCGCCTTTCATTTTCATTCTAATTAATAGCTTGTAATATAGAAATTAGAATCTGAATAAAATGTTTATGATATCGAGTCAAGAAAATGTGTTTAAACTAGACGTATGATAATGATAAATAGAGTGTTTTCGGAAATAATTATCAAATGATTTTTCAAACGCGATTTAAGAAAAAATCATATTCGGTCTAAAGGAAAAGAAATTTCGAAGTGAACTCTAAAAAATAGCGCTTTCTCTTCCGAGGTACAGAAATAACATTCTTTCCCTCATACGAGAGAAGAGTGACATTAGGGGTACCGCACATGTTATCGATGCAGCAAGTGGCTTACAGGGAGGTCCGTGAAGGCGATACCCAAGTGGTGGCCATTCTTCGTGTAGAATGCGGTGTTGTCAACCAGATTGACGCCGCAGCCGATCACGTCGCCGGTAGTGAAGGTCGGCCCGTAAGGCTGACCCGTGCCGGACGAGCAGAAGCTGTGGCCGTCATCGCCATGGTAACCATATGAGTGCTTGTCCCATCCCGGCAACCTGTTCACATTGACGCCGTGTGCTGAGAGACCGATTCCCATGTAGCCATCGCGGCCTTTGCTCACAATCTTCACCTCGAAGTAATACAAGCCACAGGCTGCTGGTATGGAGTGCGTTGTACGAACACTGGCAGCGTCTTTGTGAGTTTTACCGTAACCTGGGAAATGAGAAGACGTCTCGCTGAGGAGGCTCCCCTCTCTAAAGGATCGCCGATTATTAGCTGTATCGGCTAATAACCGGCGCGCGTATGTACGGTCGAAAGTATCGGTCGCGAAGTAGAAACGCGTTAAAAATAGAGATGCACTCGCGTGGGACGTATCTGTGCCTTGAGATTAAAAACAAGGTCATCGTGCGGCTCGGAGATGCAAGGACAAATGCCGTGCGTCTTGCCACGTCTGCCCTTTTATTACGCGCGCGCCTTATCAAAGTTGCAAAGAACGCAGAGAGAATGTGGATTCGCGGAGAAAGTTTACATAGGGTGGAATTATTTATTCTTCCGCCTTCCGTAACACACGTTGCTAGTTGCTTGACTTCGCTCTAAATCGCGACTTGAAACTCGCACGAAATCCTCTCCTCAAAAAGGTGATAGCGACGTTCGCACCAAAATTCGTGTGGACCCTTTAAGACATAAGAAATGTATTAAGTTTAACACACAATTTTTGATTGTATAATCGTACCTTATATATGATATTGCATTTGATCGCTCTGATATCATTCGCTTTTCAGTTCATTGCGCGAGCTTTTATTGGTCCATCGTTTATTTCGCATCGACTGGATATCAACAGAGAGCCTCACTTTATTCAATTCGCGCGCGGATCTGACGTGCTCTTTCCTGGCTAGAATACGATAGCTGGAGAGCAAGTTTGGCGAAGTTGGCTAGCAGCTCTCCGCATCCGAGATAGCGGTAAGCTAAGAACTGTGGTCACTTCCTTCTCGAGAGAAAGACAGAGAGAGAGAGAGAGAGAGAGAGAGCAAGATACGCTTACGTGCCTTAGACGATGCGAATCGTCTATCGATTCCCCCCCTCGAATGTTGTACCATACGGAAGAGCGCGATCTAAAGACACCGAAGTCATTACGAATGAAATGACCGGCTGCATTCGCGCGAGCGAGTTGCTTGCACGGAGCAACGACGAGCCGATGTATTTTCGGTGCGTGTACAAACGCGTGCGGCGATGATACCCACGCAGCACACACGCGATAAACAATGCGCGCTTTAGGAAGAGTGACTTTCGCGAGTGAGCGAGCGTGGAAAATGTTAACGCACGCTGATCGCTTACATAACGAAATATTGTGCGGCTAAGAGCGAGCTGGAAAACGGCGGTGTGTATTTTCTCGGTCGCAAAATTCCACAGCGAGAATTTTGCGCTCGAATCACCGAGAGAGAGAGAGAGAGAGAGATTTGATCCTCGCCGACTGACGTTCGTGTGATTGCCGAACGTCGAGCGTTAATTAACGGTGTGTCTGCTTCCGCTCCGAAAGCGAGAAAGTTTCTTCTGTATGAAAATGAATTCGTGTCGAGCTATTAAAACAGTGCATAATGCGCATACTGCGAAATCAAAGTACGGAATTGTTCGGCGGATGTAAGTAGGGCATTGGGTCGCCGCGCGCGCCACATCGATGCAATATTACAAGCTTACCCGCGATCTGTGATCTATGAGTTTCTATGTTACGCGCATGTCTCGTCCTTACAACGTAAATGCGTCGTCGTATCTCCGCTCCGCCGAGCGTCGTTTATGCAGCTTTTATAGGTAATGCTTTTATTGGGTCGTTACAGGAATTATATTCGTGTTTGTGGAAATAACGTTGTAGGATCCTCCTCCAACGGCGGAACTTTTGTAACTCAATATTGGCCGTGACGTAACAGCCGTGCAGCGCGAGATATCACTTTATTGCATCAGGATATGTATAATTGTGTATATGGATTAATGCAATAAAAGAGTTTTATATATTCCGCTTGCTATCTCAGTACGTTTTAAATTATTCTACGATAACGCTCGCGTGATGATAATGGATAATAAATACGGAAATGAAGTATTCAAAATCGAATGAATAAGTAAGTTCTCTAATCTCTGAAACATTGCCTTCTACTATCTAAGTTTCTACTAACTAAATATTCTCTTTTAACTAAACTTCTTAGGAGGCTTTCTTCGCTCGAAAAAACAGAGTGACAACAAACAAGTAAGTTTTGCTTGAAGTTCGGCGATTTTTTGCTCAGAATGAATCCTCCGCTTTGAATCGTCGAATGAATTTTTTCACTCGAAATTGAAGAGCCAATTTGACGTCACGAGAAAAAAATTCACCGTGTAATCGATTGAAACGTTTACTCGTATGGAGTTAGAATCCATATTAAGCTTGAGTGATACTCTCTTGATTCCAAGTGGCAGTATTTTCACAGTCGCTTCGAGTAAATTTTCATTCGTTTTGTGTGAAATTTTATCGTATAAAATTTAGAGAGAATATTCTCTTTTAAAATAAATTCTCATTCAAAAAGCAGAGTGACAAATCAAATCATTCGAGTAGTGCACGGAGAAAAATTATGGTAAAAATTACTACAAAAGTTTTTATAATAATGGAATATAACAGAATTATTATCGAAATTACTATGTATATTTTTAGTGATGTGTACACTATGACTGTACACATGATAGATATATCGCTAAAGATTACAACACGTAATAATTTCGATAATAACTCCGGTATATTCTAGCATTACAAACTTGTATAGTAATTTTTACCACAGAATATATTTCATTCTGCAATCGTGAATATCTTCGCTCGAGATTCAAGAATGAATATGATATATTTCACCGTAACAGAAATAAATTCACTCCGATCGATTGAAACATTCACTCGTCAGAATCCAATGTAAGCTTGAGTGAAACATTCACTCTTGCAATTTCAAGTGGGCAGGATTTTCGCTATCGCTACGATTGAATTACCGCTCGTTTTGAGTAAGATTTTACTCCAAAGAATTTAGGTGGTACGTTTACAGAAAAAGACGGGGAATCGCTTGAAACTGCAAGTGCACTCTAAACAATTCTCCAAGGAAAGCGGCAAGAAACTCGGAAAGCTCGATTACAGCCTATTCGTGCGTTGGAGTACTCAGCCACTCGAAAATCACGATAGACCTTGTTTACGGGAACAAGCGTGAATTTCGGAGAGTCGCAAGGTCTCGCGTCACGAAAGGATGCGATGAAATCCGCGACGTCCGGTCGAGCCGCGGTCACGACGGTGTAAGCGTGCAAGTGCAAGGGAAACAGTTAAGGGTTAACGGTAGATGCGGACTATCGCGGGCGGCCTTCCGTTTTCGCAGGCACTCCTACTAGCTGCTCGCTCAGAGAGGCCACGTGCGCTCGTTTACCGCGCCGAGAGCGGAGCCGTAAACAGACGCGCGGATGAATCCACAGATTCGCAGAGAGAAAAGCGCCGCCGAGAACTATATAAAATTTTGTCATCGAGGAACACGTCTTCCCTAATTCATCTTTCTATTTCATGTACTGCCCGTATTTTAGAAACTGGAATCTACTATTAAATATTTACAAGAAGAAATAAATTATTTAAAATTCTATTGATATCAAATCGAAAGTAATAAAAAAAATATACATTTTCTTAAGTCTGTAGCTTTTTTTTTTATGAAAGCAATTATTTATTCTATTTAAATAAAAGAACTTATAGATTTGGGTAAATATACTATTAGTATCCACCGAATAAACGTTTTTTATTTTTTAGATTTTTTTTCTCCTCGTTGATTTTCATTGAAATTATATATTCTTTTTCGCGAAATCTTTTCAAAAATTTTTGAAGAAATATGTCGTGTTCCTTAGCAAGATAAAGCCTGCCAGTCTACGCTACTAGAAAACACGAAATTTCAAAAAATTTTATACGAAAGAAAACTTTAATATTCTCTCCGTGTACGCGTTCGATTGATCGCGCGCCTTTTAGTACAATTCACCTCGTCATGTTTGCCCATCGAAATCGTTATCGCAGATTAGCGCAAACAGCGGAGAATTCTCGTCTGAGTCTCCTCGTTGGCGTCGTCGAGGCTTCGCGACGTAATCGCGACTCCGCGCGCTCTTTGCAATTGGAAAGAGCGCGTCGCGGTCTTCATGTGCATCGCGGTCGCATTTAACGACTATTGCGACGATACAGAGTCGTTCTACTTCTTTCTTCTTTTACCTTCGTAGGTAATAGGATATATCAATTGCTACGGAATTATTATCGCATCTGTCTGTTCGCGAGTGATATGATCGTGGGAGAATTTGAATCTTTCAGCGAGAAGAATATTGCGAAGTGCGCGATAATTCGTCAATCGCGACGAAAGGCTTGGCCAAGTAGGAAATACAGCAGACTCCATTAAAATGCTGTGTAGAGATATAAAATTAGATTCAAAGTGATGATTATTTACGGTAAGATGGCCATTCATTGGCAATTTTGGTAAAATTCGTTGTTTTTGTTTTAATGTCATGCACAAATAAATTGTATTCAGATTTTCTGCGCTAATACATAAGATAAAACAACAGTCTTATGTTATCATGTATATCTGATAATCTGATTGGACCATTTTCACTTCTAATGCTGTGATAACCTTGAAATATTAGGCGCGTTATCTTGAAATATTTGTGTATCATGTATTATGACTGTTACTTTGGAGAATCGTTGCCGATTCATTAAATTATCAACAGTCATAATGCACAAATAATGGTCTTGATTGAAAATTTTCGATGTCGCTATACTAGGGAGTGGCACAGCATTAATGAGGTCTGCTATACGAACGGACAATGAATGAATAATTAATGAGTTAAACGTCGAGTCAAGAAGTAACTTCCGTTTTTTTTAACTATGACATGCAACCTTTATGAACTTGGCACTATGATCCCTTTACTTGCGCATTATACAATTTGGAATGTGTAATTTAAAAGTGTAAATCGTTATTCATCGTTAAAGAAGATCCAAACGATTAGGATCGAAACATCCAATAGATATGGAATGTAAACATCGTTTCATTTCTTCATTAAATATTATATCGCCCGAGCACAGCGTTCGCTCTCTCCTAGTTGCCTTTAACAATTTTTCTTTTTTTTTTTTTTTAATTTGGGCTGTATATCTTGAGTATTTTACACATATCCTGTATTTGTTTTCTCTCCCTCGAAATTTAGTAAACACCTTATTGGTTTCCTTACGTGTGAATGTACTTAAAACCAAATAAAAGAAAAGATAAGAATAATAAGATAAAAGAGAGGAAAATAAATTGCCACTTCCGTCGTAATTTACAATTCGTGCAACAATGTGACAAGCGGGTCACGAGTGCTCTCTTTCTCTCTCTCGTTCTCGGATCGCCTAATTAATTCCAAGTGTAACTTATTCGAATGCCAATTTGCTAAGCAGAGACCGCCAAAATATTGATGCCGCGGACCGTAATCGGTATATGGCGGATCTCTGGCGACGAGTCTACGACGTGTCTACGAGTTCATAGAACACCCGAGAGACAACGATCGAAGTTAAATTAAAGGATTCGCGAGCGGCGGATATTATCGACGCGCGACGGCTAGGGTCGAGTGTGTACGCGGCGTGCATTATGCTTCATCATGTCTGCCACGTATTGTGACATCTCGATTAACACACATTTTGTATTCGTAACGCGATTTTAGGGGCAGTCATCGCCGCATCGAACGCGATGTCCTGTAACTTTGTCCTATTTATCGTGCAATTAACGCGTCGATTATTCATACATTCTGAACGAGTTGCGGCGAGAACACATACGATGCGGCTTTTATTTATACACGCATATATTTTACAATACATTTATTATAATAACATTGCGCGTAGTTTCTATTAAAAGATGCAAAGAACGCGATCGTTGTGACTTCACGCTAAGTTATGATTTTCTCCCCCTCTCTCTCTCTTTCTCTAATGAGAAAGAAAATCGCGAGGAAAAAAATTTTCATTTTTTTTTTATTTCTCTTTCGTTCTTGCAAATATTTGCACGGATGAAACCGACGAGATGTTCGCGAAATTTCGAAAGAGAAGAAATTTCATGACATCTTTTTCGACGTCGCGGGACTTTTACTCGCCTCCGCGGAGAAAATATTGTAATAAAAATTGCCACAAAATTTTGTAGTGCTCGACCATATCTGAATTGAAGCTTTTGAAATTACGTGTGTTGTAATCTTCAGTGATGTACATATCATGTGTGCACCGAAGAAAATGCTGTTGAATCAATAAAATTGTTAACAGCGGCATGATTGGATTATATTTTCTATTCAGTGGCGAATATCATTAAAACTATTACATTATGTATTGTTTCAATAATTAGAGTATTAGTTTCAACGATATCGCAATTGAATTCCGCATGCTACAGGGAATTCTATTGATTCAACAGCATTTTCTTTCATACACATTTATACACATCACACTAAAGATCACAATACACATAATAGTTTTGATGATAAATCCGGTATGATCCGTTACTCTCCGGTAAACTCTTACAAACACATAACAAACTTCAAACTTTATAAACATTACATACTTCACACTGCAAACTTCTGAGGGAATTTTTACTACAATATTTTTTCCGTAAACGAGAAAAAAACATTCCTCGAAATATTAGTTTTGCACGCGGCAATAGCGTGCAAATAATGCAGATATTGTAATTCGCTCGTTAATACACTGGATATCTCTCGGCAGTGTGACTCGCGAGAAACCTATTCCTTGCTAAAAAAAAAAAAGAAGCATCAGATATCACTCGGTGTCACTTTGCTCGAAAGAAGCGAGCTCGAACGGGAAACGCAGCGGCCTTCGCTTGTTTCCCTTATTCCTGCCCCGTTTTTGGCGTTTCTTTCTCTCTCCTCGCACTATCACGCTCCGTAGGAAAATAATATTTTCGTTCGCGCTGTTCGCGGCATCGGCACACGTCCGGCTAGCGTGAACACTCGGCCGAAGTCCTTACCACGTATACCGCTTTAAATAATGCTCTCTTTTTTTTCTTATTCTCCGTCCGTGTGTGCGAAGAGAATAGATAATGCGCCAGGCGGCCGGTCAGTCATCGCCGTCGCATGTATTTTACGCGAAAACTCTCTAGCACACTCTGTATATTTCGAGCGAGAAGATTGAGAAAGAGAAGGAGAGAAAGCGTCGAGTAAAGTTCCCCATGATGCCCACGAGAGTACAACAGTGGGACTTTTCTCTCATGAATGGAATTCTTGTCTCTTTTATGGGGAGATTTTGGTTCCCCGCCGATGGGTCTTGCGCAGCGGCAGGGTGATTTGACGGGCGAACGTCATCCGGCGCGACCCTCCCAGTTAAACATTTCCGCCACGAAGCTTCGAGACTCTTGCGAGGGGAGAAGAGGAGGCAATTTCGATTCAAATTAACCGTCCTCGCCTCTCCTAGTGAAAAGAGAGAGAAATTCTCTCGTCTGATTTATGCAAGGGACGTGCAAACTTGATTCAGTCTCGGCAAGTCTCTCCATTATCATCCCTCTCCCTCTATCCGCCTCGAATTCACCCCGCGCGAATCCCTCGCTGCGTTTTGCGACACGGTGAAAGTGGAACACCCAGTATATGCATCGGCGGACAGCCACGAAATTCGACGGGGCGAATTCAAGACGAGAGAGCACAAGCTGGGTGATCCGCCGTGACGACTCGCGCCGATGCGCGGTCCACGTATCGTGTCCGAATCGCACAGCTGTCATTGACATTGTGCGCGTTCCGTCCATCTCTTTTTTTTTCTCTCTCTATCTCTCTTTCTCGCTCACCCCCTCTCTTTCTCTCTCATCCCCGCATACAGACGCGCTCTACCTCTCTCTCTCCCTCCCACGCGTTTCTTCACCGACACACGCGCCAGAGATCGACGAGTATGACACGATATGACGACGACGGCGGCTACAACGATTTCGCGTCTCGAAAACTGTCGCGTCGTCGTTCGCGAGAACGATTGGCCGGGAGCGAGAGATAGGAGAGAGAGAGAGAGAGAGAGAGAGAGAACACAGGCCCCGTCGTCGACGACGGGCCCCCCGCGACACACAGGACTGATCAGCTGATTCCTTTGTTTAGGTCGCTGACACATGCGAAAAAGAGCCCTGCCATTTTCAATCGATACTACGTCCCTGCCCCGGGAGCAGCCCGATCGCGGCGCGGCCCCGGCCATGGGACAAGGAGCGGGCCCGATGACAGGACGCGATCGAGGCGTAAAATCGCGACGAACGCGTCGCGCACGTTGGCGCATCTCGCGCTGAGGTCGCGCACGGTGCTCTCTCGCACGTACCTTTGTAGTGAACGCGGAGATTGTTTTGCGACAGGCCTATGTAGTTGTACTTGTCCTTCGGGCTCCAGGAGCGCGGCAACGGCGTCTCCTCCTCGTTCACCATTGGATAAAGCAACTTCAGCCGGTCTATGGGCTGGCTCTGGCCCGAATTCGTTCTCGCTGGCTCCATAACACTCCGTTCATCGCTGGTGGCGGCCATCATTGTCATCCACTGCCCCACTCTCTGCTCGGTCCTGGATCGCAATGACGTCGCGCAACTCTCATGCGCAACCCACTCAGCCAGCGACGCCGAGACTGAGTGCTGCGTAGATGAGTGTTCGCCTTGGCTCGCGATGTACATCGTCAAGCCGTCTTTGCATGACGTGACGGCTCAGTCTTCGTTTCCATCGCATGCCAAAGGCGATGAAATCAAGTTCTTTTTAGCTGCACTGTTACAATAAATTGAAGCGAGGTAAGCATATGTTTTCTCATTTCAACAATCGGTTGAAAAAGAACAGGCCAAAGATTATAATTAAGCCCCCCAAAGTGTAGACAACGAGTATGTGTACAATCGATCCCGTTCTCTTCAAAATATCGCGATTCTTTATATCCATCGAGAGATCGATCGATTGCTTGTCGACTGCGAACGAGGGAAGTTTCATCCATCGCCGCGTGTGGCGTAGGAAAAGGTATGCTCACAAAATGCGTTATGTCGAACTATTACGGTGAAAAAATTGAGGGAGATTATCTATGTCTACAATAGATGTAGTTTCAAGCTTTAAACCGTGAGTAATTGACCAATCACAATCGATTATTCTTGTAAAATTTGAGGCAGATACCACTTAATGTTTGCAACGACGCGAACGTCGTTCCATCTTTATTTAACACCCAGCGAAAAACAAAGATAGAATGACGCTCGCGTCGTTGTGAGCGTTGAGTGGAATCCACCCTTAACTGTGAGGCCGTCACGTAACTTGCGACAGCCAATCGAATCCGACCGTGGTAATTGGGTAATTGAGGCGATTGGCTAACGCAAGTTACGCCGCATGGGGAGGCACCTTGAGCGTGTTCGCTCTCTCACGTTACTTTTTTTTTTTCCATCTGGAAACGTATTGTGTCTGTCAACCATTTTGGTTATCAGTGTTGTGTTCACCCGCTTTTAATTACAGTCTGAAACAGTGGTGAAAGTATAATGATGAAAATAATCCTGCATTTATCATCAAATACGATACGTAATATTGTTTTACATCAAGTTTTACGCCTATGAAAGGTGTCTTGATAAGAAAGTAAGACCTGAATTTTATGTATTTCCATACTGTATATTGATCGTAGATTTTCTTTTCAAATTCTTAAGCATTTACCAAATTGCAGATGAACCGAATGATAACTTGGTCCAAATCCTAAGAGCTGCAGTTCTGTTACTAACTACATTGTGTTATACAACTGTACATACGTGTTATATATACATATATAATTGTACATATATATATATGTGTGTGTGTGTATATATATATATATATATATATATATATATATATGTATGTATATATATATGTAATAGCAACAAAGCAAGGTTAACATTAATGTGGCAAAGTATTACTGAACCCTGGCATGATATTTTGCGCATCTGTATATTAATATAAAAAGCTCAAGCTTGTACTGAATTTTATACAGACTTAGAAAGATGGGTACTTCTCGACAGGAAGATAGATCTCTCAGTGGTGGTATTTCATTGCCACAATGGATGAAAGGAAAAATGGATAAGTAGGCATTTCTGTATACTTCTTAATATTATTTACGATAAAAAATACAATTAAAATTATATACAACTATAATATGGTTTAAACTGTCTTAGACTCTTGCTTATCATTCTTTTCATCTCATTGTGATCTTGCATAAAAGAAATATTTATTTTATTTATTTTTTATTTATATATTTTTTTTTATTCGAGGATAGAAGTTCATTGTATGTGTGTATGTAGCATGTGTGTGGTATATAGATAAGTATAATTCTGCCAAGTAACATTGTTTTTCATTATATATGTATTATATATATATATGTATGTATGTATGTATGTATGTATGTGTTCACACACATTTGATACACTTAAATTATAGTACACATGATTTATATTGTGTTTCATACTAACTACTAATCTAATTTTATTTGTATGTTTTTAGATTTGATTTTGACGATACTACTTTCCAAAGTCCACCAACTTATGACGACAGTTTTTTTTACTTAAGATATCAAAAATCACAGAGTTCCAATTCATCACAACAAGAATTGAAACGTATCTCTGAGGTTTTGAGTGAGAACAATATTACAGACTCTACAAATCAGAAAGTTAATTCTAAAACTATTTCTGATCTGAGTGAACCCAAGCACATTGACTTTAGCAAACATCCTTTACCATGTCATCCATTTATACCAGCTACAAATAGTGCAGGTATTTTGCAACACAAAATTCATTCTCTCGTATATTTTCGACAACGATAAATTCTTTTTGTTTCAGTTGGTGATATTCAATCTGAAAAAAAATATTTAACAACAGGAAATATAAAACTCAAATCACAGGGGACGGACGACGGTTTCCACGGTGAACCAGCTCTTTGCGGCAAATCGATTGTTCACGTTGCTAATCAAATGATGTCTGGTAAATTCGCTAAATTATTCACATCAGATTCACGTCAACAACAGACTGAAAGCTCTTTGAAGAATGTCAGTAAGTCGTTACCAGCATCACCACTGGCAACGCCAACGGGAACTCCAGATAGTTCACCGAAAGCACGGAGGAAGATTCACGCTAACCGATATTTTTCGGGTGCATTTGTACCAGATAAAGAGAAATATCAGGGTAGTTGGATTTTAGCGAGCATGTTGGGTCAATCTAGAGAAATCGTTACGGCAAAAATAGAGGAAGAAGACGAATTCTTTGTAGAACCAAATAAACCACTTCATCGGAAAAAATCAATATCTTCGCAAAATCTTACGTATATAGGAAAAGAAGAAAAGTCGGCAGATAAAACGCCTGTTTATGTAAATATGCCATCTGAATTAAGAGAGATGAATTGTTGGTCGCCAACTTCTATGTGAAGTTTTAAAATAGCTTCAGTTTTCATTATGTTCAGAATTATTAACCGATACTTGGAGATCTGTACTTATCTAGAAGCATATTAAGTCGGGTTTAGACTGCACATTGTCGACTGTATTGTAAATTGAGATTTAAATATAATAATCAGGATAATAAGAATCAAGATTGGTTGAGTTTTAATCTGTAATTTTCAATTCTTAATTTGTTACATGTAGACTTTTGTACATGGTTGGTATTTCTGCAAAATATATCAAACATATAGTATGCAATAAAAGAATATGTTCTTGTAAATATAAGGAAACCTTACTATATCTATATATACTATTTAACTTAAATCTATTTCAAATTGTATATCAAAGAGCACCAAACAACACCTAAAATTTTAAAAAAGATAAGTACAGCTCTAACCCATACTTTCACCAAAGCACACAATTCAAATAGATTTAGATTGATAATTTCATGTTACTCCATAATATACTGCAATGTAGGTTTAATTATAGTTTATTATATTACAGTTTATTATATAAAGCTAATATTTGTACAAAATATATAAATGTACGTTTTACTCGACATTAGCAAGTTTATGTTGATCCATAGGTAGGTTTGTTTTTCTCTGTACACATTTGAAATATAAATTATATATGTGTTATATTTGCATAATTAAATTACCTATTTTTTTGGCTATCAAAAACTTTAAAGCATGGGATACGTAACGATTCGTCGATGTAAATAATAAAATAACATTTGTGATATTGTGATATTCTGAATAAGTTATTTGTTTTTTCCGCATATGGATTATAATATATATTGAAATATTAAGGTTCCGGCGTAATGACTGTCTTTGTTTAATTGTTGACGTCAGACTGTTCGGGTAAAAGAGAAATGTTCGTCCAATTTTTTTTTACAAGTGATGATTATAAATGTCACTTTGTGGATAAATTTTTTTATTTTTTTTATTTGAAAGTATAACGCAAATAATCTTGGAATGCGTTTACTTGCTTCTAACGTCATTAAACAAGGATAGTCATAGCGACTACATCTTAAATATTCTGAAGTTTATATATATATATTTTTTTTTAAATAAAACTACAAAAAATCAAATATGCACGTCTTCAAGAAACAAAACAAAAAAAATATATTAGTTTAAGGCTTCGGAATAGTTGCTGTGGTTGAACATAAAATATATATTAAAGTAACTTTAATAAGCAGTGGTAAATAAAATATACATTAAACTTTAAATACAATTAAGGTTCCGGGGTTAGTCTGTGACTATCCTTGTTTAATGACGTCAAAAGCGAGAAAACGCATGCCAAGATTTTTTATGTAATACTTTCAAATAAAAGGAACTCTGACGGTGGAAATAATTTTCTGAATTTCTTTGAAAAAGTCTAGAAAATTGGAATATTTTTAGAGGAATACAGAAGAAAAATCAGAACAAATATTTTCCTTATTAAACCTGAAAAAAACTGCATCTCTCGAAAAATCTCTATTTTCTGATATTTTCAGAAAATTTTCATTTTTCTAAAGTATTTCTCCCAAAATATTGACATTTTCAGAGAACAAAAGCATGATTAGAGTTTATCATTACAAATATGAAAACTATAATTTTCAAATACCAGAAATGTCATTAAATATTTTAGTGGATAGAAATCAGACCGATATTTTCACCTGGCCCCGGTTAAAAAATATGCAATTTTTTATTCTATCAATATAAAATTGTTCTACTTTTTTGGTATATAATAAACACGTAAATACAAAAAAGATGTATGCACATATAATGTATATAATAATACAGAAATTAATTATAAATTTCACTATATACTATAAATAAATTTCACATAAAATGAGAGGAAACATTATATATTTACTTGATCATAAGACAAAAAAATACGCCGATTGTTAATATACTGACATATTACACGTGTCTAGTTTGTAGATAGTTTTGTATTCTTCACGATTTTCGCGAGGCAGTTTTAATCTCAGACACAGCTTCCATAACAAATGAGGAAGCTCTAGAAATGTCAATATGAGAGAGCGATGCTGCCGTTCAGTTTTAGAACTTCAATGTGATATTCTTTGTCGGTAAGAGTGGATACCACAGTAACAACTTAACAATAGTGGATAAGTTAAATTTCTTGAGGTCGGTAAGTTGCCAAGGTCGATAAGTTTTCGAGAATCGATAAGTTACCACAGTCGATAAGTTAGCCGGGAGTAGTAAGTTACCAGAGTCGATATGCTTCCTGGGATCGGTACGTTTCCACGGGCCGGTATGCATCTTTATTGCACATCGCAGAAGCAAAGTGAGGTTCAAAGATTTCAATTTTTTGATAGATTCAAATAAGGATGGTACTTCCGACTTACCCAGTGCAAATAATTCGCAATATATTCTCGAAGCAATCGATGTCATTGATGTGCATTACGAAGGTCTGTGTAAAATGTGTAATCTCACAAATTTCAAGTGGCTTAGCATTAAGTATGGCAAAAATATCGAGGACTAAGACTTTGAAAAAATATCAGCAGAGTTTCCGGAATAATTTGGCA